CATGGCTGCACGGCATGGTTACACGGCATGGCTGCACGGCATGGTTACACGGCATGGCTGCACGGCATGGTTACACGGCATGGCTGCACGGCATGGTTACACGGCATGGCTGCACGGCATCGTTACACGGCATGGCTGCACGGCATGGTTACACGGCATGGCTGCACGGCATGGTTACACGGCATGGCTGCACGGCATGGTTACACGGCATGGCTGCACGGCATGGTTACACGGCATGGCTGCACGGCATGGTTACACGGCATGGCTGCACGGCATGGTTACACGGCATGGCTGCACGGCATGGTTACACGGCATGGCTGCACGGCATGGTTACACGGCATGGCTGCACGGCATGGTTACACGGCATGGCTGCACGGCATGGTTACACGGCATGGCTGCACGGCATGGTTACACGGCATGGCTGCACGGCATGGTTACACGGCATGGCTGCACGGCATGGTTACACGGCATGGCTGCACGGCATGGTTACACGGCATGGCTGCACGGCATGGTTACACGGCATGGCTGCACGGCATGGTTACACGGCATGGCTGCACGGCATGGTTACACGGCATGGCTGCACGGCATGGTTACACGGCATGGCTGCACGGCATGGTTACACGGCATGGCTGCACGGCATGGTTACACTCAGCACCGTCTACAACCAGGAGACGTTGTAACATCAACAGTGGTCTACATTGGTGACATGAACATGACCGTTCAGGTGCGTTCTACATGAGAGTGCATGTCTGTTTTTTCTACATGTATGTATATGCGCATGTGCATGTTTGTTTTAAGGCCTACAGTGGTGTGTGCGTCTTCGTGTGCAGAAGTGTGAAAGCGGAGCAAATCTTTCTTGTGATTTTGACAACGAGTGATTGTTGTGTATTACGCATTTGCATGTTTGCCCATGCTCTGATTCTAACAGGAAATTGTTGATCTCATATCATAGGAGGCTTGCTCTCTAAGTTTTTTTCGTTGTTTCTTTTATCTTGTTTCCTCATCTGTCCCTTTCCTAATGTGTCCCTTTCTTTATCCCTGTCTCCACTGTGTGCCACGTGTCACACCCTCACAGGTGGAACGTCATGATCCACTACGACAGCATCCGGCAGCTGAAGCAAGGACCACTGGACACGTGGCCCTTCCCCATTGGTCATGTAGGTTCACTTCACACCACACCCACACCTGTGTGCGGTGGCAGAGGTAATGGACAAGCAACCTGAACTCTTGATGCACTCTTAGTACCCAGACTCTAAACCCCTTTTACGCCTTCAACCCCAAACCTCAAAGCCTTGACCTCGAAGCAATGTCCACGGAGGTGAGTGCACATGCTGCTAGTTTGAGTGGGAAAGCGATGTGGGACAAGCTCTGTCAGGAGGTTCGAGCTATGGATTGTGAATGGGCCAAAAATTTGAGCGTAAGTGCTGCTTACCTGAGATGGACCAAGCTGGACCAGGAGATGTGGGCACGGGACATTGAAGCAGCCATTGAAGCCTCCTTGCTTGCCTGAGTCGTGCCTGGTAAAACTGTTCCTCCTCTTGTAGCAGCATCGAGTGTAGCAGAGTTTGCAGCACCAGCGGCTCCCATCTTAGGTAAGCAGCACGTGCTCTCAATTTTTTGACTCATTCACAATCCATAGCTCGAACCTCCTGACAGAGCTTGTCCCACCTCGCTTTCCCACTCAGACTAGCAGCATGTGCACTCGCCTCCATGGGCATTGCTTCTGTGGTCATGCTGCTAACATTCTCCATTGGTCCAAACTCTAAACCCCTTTTACGCCTTCAACCCCAAACCCCAAAGCCTTGACCTCGAACCCTAATCCCTGATCCACTCTTGCATTGCATACCACACAGTGGCGACATTGGATGTGAATGGGATGAATCTCTGCTGCTGCATTCAGCAAGAATCAGGTCGACGCGTATCATATGTGTGTGTGCGAGGTGACTTCTGAGTCGACTCAAAAGTCACCTCATTCGATGTGGATTTGTACGGCTGCAATCAGCAAAAATTTAGCCGTGCATCATATGTGTATGTGCGCATATGCACATTCTCAGTATGTGTTTCTATTTTGCACCTCTGCGCTTGCGTAAGACGGCTTTTTTTTATTCCTAAAAAGTTGCGAAGTTGCCACAGCAGCGGCATTAACAGCAGCGATGGACAACCTCACTCACTCACACCCTTCCGCCTTATTGTCCCTTTCTCTTCTTCCTCCCTGTTCTCGCTTCCATACTCCGCACCTGCCAGTCCCTGCCAGTGCATGTGCTGCGCAGCAAGCCAGTCCAGAAGCGCCTGCTAGTAACATTAGATCCACCACACGAGCAGCAGCAGGGGCAGCAACAAAAGCAGAGGCAACAGCGGCAGCAGGGGCAGCAACAAAAGCGCCTGGTAATATCACTGGAGTCACCCTTTCCCCCTGTCTCCCTCTCTCTCCCCTTCCTTACACCCTTCCCCCTCCTCCCCCACGTCCCACTCGCCCCAGTCCCTGCCAGTGCATGTGCATTTCAAAATTACCCTCCCCCCCTTCCCTCTCCCTCGCCCTCAAACCCTGCCTGGCCCCTCCAGTCCCTACCAGTGCATGTGCTGCGCAGCAAGCCAGTCCAGAAGCGCCTGCTCGTATCACTGGATCCACCGCAAGAGCAGAAGCAGGGGCAGCAGCAAAAGCAGAGGCAACCGCGGCAGCAGGGGCAGCAGGGGCAACAGGTGCGGCAGGGGCCGCAGCAGTGGCGGCGACAGCAGACACCCGTGGCGCCGCTATCGGACCTTCTCCAGTCACTAGAAGCTGCTGAGTTCTCTCCTGCCACGCAGCCTCGATTCGAGGTGAGGCCTGACCCGAGTCAATTGAGACTTTAAAGGTTTGAGTTTACTCGTAAGGTTTCGGACCCGTGGCTCCGCTATCGGACCTCCTCCAGTCACTTGAAGCTGCTGAGTCCGCTCCAAGCATGCAGCCGCGATTTGAGGTGAGTTCTTTAATTGACTCGTAAGGTTCCGGGTTGACGCAACACCCGTGGCACCGCTATCTGATCGGACCTCCTGCAGTCACTTGAAGCTGCTGAGTCCTCTTCTCTCCTGCCGTGCCGCCTCGCTTCGAAGTGCACATGTAGTGTGGTGTTAGTGTGTAGTGTAGTGTAGTGTAGTGTAGTGTAGTGTAGTGGAATGTAGTGGAGCGTAGTGTAGTGGAATTTAGTGTAGTAAAGTATAGTTTAGTATTGTGTAGTGTAGTGGTGCCAACATATGGTGAAGGTGTGCCATGGAATGGATAGCACTGGCAAATGCCTGCTTTCACATGAGCCCGCACTGTGCATCTGTGTACCCCGCACAGCCATTGTAATGAGGTGACTTTTGAGTCGACTCAAAAGTCACCTCACACTGTGCACCCGTATACCCCTCACTGCTGCCAGACTAGCTCAGCTCAACAGTGATGCCACGTCTCTACCTCCATCCACCCCTCCCACTGCGCCTCTCCACAATTTCCTGTCACTCCCCTGAACAGGCAGCGGCTGAGCTGGAAGCAGTGGCGGCCTATCTCAGAGCGACACCTGGCATAACCTCGGTGAATCTGGGCCGTGTGGCCAAGGGAGGTGCCTTGGCTCCTGGATTTCAGGTAAGACCGTTACAGCTGTCAGTCAGTTACGGTTGTGAGTATTAATGGTTGCGACTTCCTGTACTGTGAAGCGTTATGTGTCTAAATCATCCTGGTTTGTGACATTGTTGTAGGAGGGGTTTCAGCGGGATGCCAGACAAAAGCCTCTAATATTTTTCATTTGTTTTCATAACAGTCGACGTTCAAACTACACCATACAAGTACTGCATCTATTCTATCGCTTTTGTATATCAACCCATTCTCACTCCACAATCTTGCTCTCACAGATCTTCCTGGCATCACAGTCAGACTCTGAATACAAGCTTGTAGCACGTGCGGGACTGACCATCCAAGAGGTAACGCTCTTCCTTGATCAAACTCCTAGAAGCTGCATTTATTTGTATGCAAGCTTGCAGCACGCGCAGGGCTGACCATTCAAGAGGTAACGCTCTTACCTGACCAAACCTTGATGGGGTGACTTTTGCGTCAACTCAAAAGTCAGGCTCTGAACACAAGCTTGTGACACGTGCAGGGCTGACCATTCATAAGGTAACCTTTAACCTGGCCAAAGTTCTATGTTTCATGGGTTTGTCTATGCATTTTTGTTGCTGGCTGGGTTGCATCATTCTTCCTTGTCCACCTTTGTTGATGGTGCAACCTTTGTTCCACATCCACTTGATGGCGATGACTTTCTATTTGATGTCCCGGGCGTTTTTTCTCATGCAATGTTACGCGTTTTTGTTTCCTTCTCGTGTTTTTTTATCCCGGGCCGGACCTGCAGCTGCTAGTGGATTCAGATCTTGACAAGGAGGCAATCAGAGGAGCCATTCAACAAGCAATAGCGCAGTTGTGATCATGGGTATTGGATTGGGATTTGTGGGTACTGGGACAAAGAATGTTGTGAACCACTTGGTTTGTCATGCTCGCCCTAAATGAACTGCCCCTGCTTTACTTGACGGTAGAAGATTCTTCAGTCTCATTTGCCTGTTTCTCAGAAATGAATGTCCTAACCAAACACATTTACATTAGCCACCTCTAGTACTGGGAACTATCAGCACCGATTAGCATCTCGTAGCACCACTATTTCTGCCATGGCAAAAGCTCTGTGCGTACCACAAGACTTCACGCTCGAAAAAGATCAGCAGCGCGACAAGCTGAAAGAATTTGAAGTGCTTGCTTGCATGCTTGCATTGCACCACAGTCGCGCTGAGTGATATTATCAACCCTATCACCACCGCCTTCACGCACGACTTTCGGTACGCGACGCGCCTCCCTCCGTCCGAAAGCACCACTAACTTTTCCGTTTTGCGACTTACCCGGCAGTATCAAGGAATTGGGTGGAAACCCCTGGTACTGGGCCATTCAGCGTTCAACGTTCTGCGTTCAGCGTTTCAGCGTTCAGCGTTCGGCATCAGCTGCCATGCGTCGCGCCGACGTGCTCGCGTGTCAGATCCAGAGCTGGTACCCCAGCTTCCGCTCCGTCTCGCTCCGCACAGAGATCATCCCTCTCCCGCCCGAATTCATCGACTACCTCCTTTCCGACGGAATCTTCCTCCCTGCTTCGTGTAAGGCGGTAGGTTACACTTCTCACTCCCCTGCACTGCATTCTGAAAATAGATGCCTTAACTACGACCCCTCGATGCCCTTGAGTCAAAAGCGCGACCAGCGCGTACAAGCGATTATTACAAAAAAAGTGGTTTGCAAGTCTTTTCTGGTTTGCTCAGCTGCCCTCGCTCTGCCGGCGTTTCTTTCCAAGTTTTGGGTTTCGGGGTTTCCAGTTTTGGGTTTGGTTCGGGTTTAGGGAAAATGTATTAAAAGGAGGAAGAACTCGTAGTTTTCTTTCCGCGTTTTCTCGTGGTTCCCTCATCTTGAAGAATCTTTTCGGCTTTGTTTCTTTTGCTTGTCCTTCTCTCTCTTCTCTTTTCCATCGCCCCTCTTTCCTCGTCCCTTTTCCCTCTTCATTCCCACCTCCCTCTTCGCTCTTCCCTCGTCCCTCTTCGCGCTTCCCCCGTTCATTGTCCGGCTCGCCAGCTCCCCACGCGCACGCGGGTGGGCGAGTGGGAGGCGCATCGCGACGACTATGAGGGGATGAAGGAGGAGGACGACGAAGCAGACGAACCCGATGTGCCCTCCTTCCCTGTGCTCGAGGCTGCCGTTGACGCTGCTATTGCGCGGCTGGGGGGATTTGTGCTGCCAAAACTCAATTGGAGCTGCCCTAAGGTGCGTACTGTGGTTGGTTAGATTCTTACATTTCAATCCTTACTCATTCCTTGCTATAAGGGGATGAATGAGGAGGACGACAAAGCAGACGAGCCCGACGTGCCCTCCTTCCCTGCGCTCGAGGCTGCCGTTGACGCCGCTATTGCACGGCGGGGGGGGGGGGGGGGGGGGGGGGGCTGTGCTGCCGAAACTCAATTGGAGCTGCCCTGAGGTGCGTGCTTTAGCTGGTTTCTGGCCTTTCAACCCTCCTGTGTCAGCCTTTTTTTGTCAGAATTGAAAGTAGTTTGAAATTCTTTTTCCTCCTTTGTGGTTCATCTCTTTCTGCTTACTTTGTTGAGCTTTCCCATCCATTCTCTCCCTTTCCCCTCCTCCCCCACAACCCGTTCCCCAGGTTTCCTCCTCTCTCTCCTTCTCACTCACCCGCTTCTCTGCCTCCTCTCCCCTGCCTCCATCTTGCTTGCGCCATTCTCAGGACGTGGGGTGGCTGAGTACAACGGGTACACCCAAGTGCAGCAACGCCCAGGAGGTTTTTCTGCTTCTCAAGGCCTCAGACTCCCTCACCTACGACCTCTGCCATGCGTATGCTCTTCTGTCCCAACACTACCCTTGGCTCACTTGTGCACATGTTTCCATTTTTTAAGGGCTTGATTATATGCAGCTGTGACCTCTGCCATTCATACATATCGTTTTGACTTAGCACACCCTCGTGCACGCGTACAAATACTCCTGAACGTAAAAGATAAAAGTGGCTTGCTTTTACTTTCCTGCTCCTGAACGTAATCACAGCTTGTGCCGTGTCTTTCCTAATGTGTGTGGCAGCTTTGACAGTTGTGTTGACTCTTCTTCAACTGACGATTCTTCAAAAGCAGAAACACCTTCAGCTGCTGATGGTTCGGAGCCGGCCAGCAGCAGGAGCAATGGGGGAGCGTGTGTGGCGGCTACAGTAGCAGATGGAAAGCAGCAGGGGCACAGCAATGCTGGCGAAATGAATGGTGATGCTGAGCCACGGCAAGAGCAGCAGGTGGAAGAGGTGGAGCAGCAAGAGCGTGCGCAGCAGGGCCGTCCGTCTGAGTTTGTGCTTGCCTTGCGCAAGTGGTTTGACCTCTGGCCAGAAATGGAGTTTCGCTGCTTTGTCAAGGCCCATCAGCTCGTTGGTATGATGATATTAAAAAGGTTCATTTTCTTCACCTTTGTTTGGGGGGACCACCTTTCAGATCCAGGCGTCCCACTATCCTGATTGTTCTTTGCTTTTCTCCTTGTGTGCATTGAGTTCCCTCCTCCAACAGGAATTTGTCAGAGGGAGATCACATCGTTCTACCCATTTCTAGTTGATTCTCATGAAAAAATCAAGCTCCAGTTATGTGATTTCTACAACAACCACATGTGTGGCAGATTTTCTTCTTCTGACTGTAAGTGCACATGTCATGTTCTTCCTTTTGTGGTATGGCAGAAGCTTTTTTTCCGTGAAGTATGTTTGCCTCTCTGTGGAATTTGCAAACCCTCTGCCAGATACTTTTGATGTCTACATTACTCGTGATGGCCGAGTGAAGCTGGTTGATTTCAACACGTATGGTGGAGCCACTCTACCGCTTCTTTTCTCTTGGGAGGAAATAGACAGTATGCACTCAGAAAGATGCGTGAGGCACGAGACATCCAGGACCGCCAGTGACTCAAACTCGTCAGCTCCAGAGCAGCTGGGTAGTGGCAGGCCTGGCTGCTGTTCATCCAATAAAGTGGAGATGCGGATTGTGGAGTCGCGGAGTGGTGTTCAGTTGGGGTTGAGAGCTGCTAGCGGTGCCCCGTTTGACCTTCATGATAGATCAGAAGGCAGTGCATTTGAAGAGCTTATGGAGAAGCTGAAGGTGGAGTGCACCACTAATCAGGATTGCGGTAGTGATGATGAGGATGCTGGTTAGAGTTTAGTGGGTACAAGATGTGCTTGTGTGAAAAGGTGAATCCTCAATAATGTATGCACTCAGCATGGCATTGTAACATAAGCTTTTTTTATAGAGCTCCAAACATATCTGACACAGACAGCTGTGTATGCCACGTGCGGGCCATGTTTAGCCTTTAGAAGCTGACGGCCTTGGCTTTCACTATCGCCAGTGAAGGTAGCCAGGAAGGCATGCACCACCTGACAGCGCCTTTTGAGGCTGTAAGGAGCAAGTAAGTGCCTGCAATATGGTTGGATCAGAAGGTACACAGCAGAGTGGGAGACGCCATCCTCAGCACGGAGCTTCTTTGCTGGATATCTCTGCATAAACAGCTGTATCATCTTGTGATGTGGAGCATATTGCTGCTCCAGCTGATCGACACTGCCTACATACACCTGCACGTCATGATGGCTCGCAGGAGTAAGTTGGCGGTTTGGTAACAGCTTAGCACGTAGTAAGTGCAGATCATTTACCTGAGCTGTGGATGCATCCGTAGTCAATCCTGCCACGTTCAGGTCATGCTGAAAGGAGTCCTGTAGCTGAATGCTGGACTTCACACCTTCCTTTCTGGGATTGGTAACAGAGACGACGAAGGATGAATGCTTCACAATTGACGGAATATCATCTGCTGCAAGTGCATTGAACGAATTCGTTGACTTGTTGAACTCAAGAAATCGCAGAACTCCGTTGCCACAATGTCTTCTACCTGTCCAAGAACCAACAGAAGAGTTAGATTCGCCCAGTGTGCACCACTTCCTCGGGTCGGGTCGGCGGTAACTCTTACCTCTCAAACGTGAATCCCCTATGTACATGTGCGAGTGTGGGTGTTCCAGTCCAGCGTTGACATCGGTCGTGAGTGAATCATTGCCCAAAATCACGGCCAAAGTTTCGCCTATGCTCTTTCCCGAACAAATATTTAGCACTCTGCCGCGATATCTCTGCATCAACATGACCAGACATCAGTATCATACCATACTTCTGGGGAAAACGCATGCTTCCGGGCATGACGGAACCAACTCTTACCACAAGAACAAGGTCGTTATGAGGTGTTTTTCCATGGCATTCTAATATCAGGGCGAAAATAAATAACTCCCGAAGTCTACGAAGCAATGTATAAGAATTGCTGCCCATTTTGTTAGAGCTTCAAAATCAGACGTACTACTTCGGTCCCGGGGGCCGCGGAATTCGTCCTCCGAGCCTTGATCATTTGGCCCTTTATATAGTTCCATCGCAATGAGCGCTTCCGTGCACAGGATAATCGGTTGAGAAGCAGACAGATGTGAGGAGTTCTCAAGGTTTGGAGTCGATGATTGTATGTTGCTCACATAAAAATGAGAAGTTCACGGGAACTCCTTTTCTGGCTTCATGATCGAGGCGCAACAGCTGAATTCCCTAGCAACCTCTGAAGGTGCAACATTCCTGCGATGAAGCAGTATTGGCTGCTCCGATACGAATTTGATGTGCCAACGCAAAATCTGAATTGGATGCACACAAAGCAAATATTTTGAATAATTCGGCTGAAATGTTGAATGGGCGTGCGTCGGTTGCCGCACTAGCGAATGTCAGACTGAACACAGGCTTGACGGTCAGCCTTGGACCTCGGGCTTGCCTTGCCAATCTGCTTGGAGCAGTCACAGCGACATGAGGTGCGCAGGACAGAGCCTGTCGCGGTACGGGACCGCATCGAGCCGCTAGCACCAGCCTAGAGCGACTCCCGCGTTCCCGCCTTTCGGCTTCCTGCTTTCCTTGAAACCTCATTTGGTTCTTTTCAGGGTTTCGCTGCCCACGTAAACACTGGGCATTATCAAGACGTGTAGCTCTGGGGAACAACTTGGACTTTTGAACCTCGGATTCGGGATTTTAATTTTGTGGAAAATGGTTGCGCTGGTTCCAATCTCATAAACTACGGTAACTCGAGGTCCTGAGATTCGAGTTTTTACTTTTACTATATATGTGGAGTGCAGCAGAAAGAATGTGCATCGTTGCGGTACTCTCCATGACCAAACACCAAGGTCAGCAGCAGAACTAGGGAATTCCAAGGCAATGCCATGTGATCTCCTCCACGCTTACGAGCGGCACCAGAAGTAGAGAGAGCATCACTGACCATCCATATGTCCTAGCGTCCCTGAATACCATATCAACTTTTCCCCAATAGCTACCTTAACGCTGTCACCCAGCACCACTAACTGCCTCTTAACATTCGCTTGGCTTGTGCTGAGTTGACACGTGGGTAGCCATTCCACTAGTTAATGTTGCCTTTCCCGTTATCGTTACCTTTCCAGTGTTGTTCAGGGATGGTTGATAGACGTAGTTGAGGTAGTTCGCTAGTCTGTCCGTCCATGCGCCATTGGTAAGGTCCTTCTCTAGACTAGTTTTGGATGAAAGTCGAGATGGCTATTCCTCTTGCAACGGAACCTACAACACCGAGAGGACAGGAAGCAGACAGTACTTTCGTAGAGGTGTTACATGAGCGTCCTCATAGCAGCAACCAGAAAACTCGCGATTTGCCAAGCCCGCTGCAACACTCGAGAAGCCCTCTAGGCGCAGCATCGAGACGCCAAAGGCCAGTCTTCGAAACCTTGTGCGAAAATGATCGACCTATTCTTAGCGAGCAACCAGCGAATCTGACACACCATTTTCACCCTCATCAGCCCTTTCAGCATGACCTTGCTGGACCAGCAGTCAATTCACACTCTCCCTCTGCTCGTACCGCCAACATTAGCACTGGTGGTGACAGAGCACAGGAATCCATGGTGTCATGGAGATTTACGGCATTGCCTAAGCACCCTAGAGATAACTCATTGAATCCCGGTCTAGAGAAGCCTGAGTTTATTGATGGAAAGCGTCAGGTGCGGAAGCAGCTATCTTCCAAATCCCGGACAGCCTTAGCGTCTGCGTTACCAGAGGCTAGAAAATGGTTCGGAAGGCGAGACCTCCGGCGAATCGTGGTGCATTTTCGCATGAAGATGCTGTTGCTGATGGTGGGCCTGGTCATGGTCGGAGCATCACTGAAGACGATTCCTTCCTTACATAAGGTTCGTCGTTTCGTGTACCCGATGACCATTATTTACTGCTTGAGAATTCCATAGTTCTTGTCTTATCGTAAGGCAGATTTTGGGAATAAGTCCAACATTTTCTCTCCTCTTCTTCTTCGTCGTCTTCGTCGTGGAATCCTTATTATGTCATTCCGTATTTTGACCCCGTCATTGCAGACAAGAGGACTCATGAAGCTCCTTCCCTCGTCCTCCTCCGCGTTACCACTTGAACTCGCCGGCTCGTTATTATCCGAACAAGACATGGATACAAGTACAAGCAGCACTGAAAATTCTTACTTTGGAAGGAGAAAAGCAGCGGAGTCATCCGTCTTGCCAGGCTCTGCTGACAGTCTCAAGGATTCAAACCATGCTCTGCAGGCCGAGGTGAGGGTTACGGCTTATAACGGATGATAACATTCGTATGCAGGCGTTCTTTGTGTGTTTTAAGGAGGGGGTGGGTTGTAGCACATCTACCGGTAGGTTGACATGTGGATGCGGAGTTCGCCTGAGCGTATACAGGACCAACAGCGGCGAAAAACTCTTGTGCGGGGTCATGAGTTACTCGGAATGCATCGTTAAACCACTCACTTCCTTCCTGGCGTCGTCTTGTTGGTCGTGTGGTTCGTCAGATGTCTGGACTGATTCAAATGTTTTTGTTCTTTCCCCGGTATTGTCTTGTATCAGCGCGCCGAGCACACACCAGATTCCACAGCATCGACGTCTTCTGCCACCTCTCCGAATTCTCATGATGCGCCTGGAACTGGTTCTGAGATATTACGAAACGCGGCGAATCTTCGTGAAGCGGTTGGAACGCCTGGCGAAAGCAGCGAAATCAGTATGCTGGACGGGCCGTTAGGGGAAGCGGCTCAAGCCGCGGCAGCAGTTGCAGGCGCAGCAGCAGCAGCCTCGGCCGTGATTGGTGCGGTGAGAGCAGGTGGGGAAGGAACGGGGAGGGACGAACGGGTGGGGAACGAATCTGTGCGAGGGGAAAAGGCGCGTTCTGAAATCAGAGCAGATTCTCCGGTCATCTCCGCGCTGACTGTAGCGGCTTCTGATACGGAGCGTCTCTTGTCACCTCCTTCAGCTTCCCTGTCGTTCCCTTCTCCTTCCTCCTCCTCTTCCTCCCTGTCTTCGCTTCTCCTGTCGTCCGCGGTTGGCGTCGTGTGGACGTCCGGGTTCAACGCGTCTGGGTCGCACGCTCCGCGACGGACGTCGGAGAAGCTCTTGTGGAGAAGCCCTACAGTGGAGCATATTGAGCAGTGCATCGCACGCTCAAAGACACATAAAGGTAAGGCGCGTGCTTCCTGGTTCCGCCGCGTTCTCAAGTATGGATCGTCATGACGTACGTTTTTGAGAGTGACGTGCTTTTTGTTGCGGATGTGGGATGAGTGGAGAGCCAGAGAGAACTTGCTGTAGGATTCCCTATTACAGGTGGTGTGCATGGAGGATCAAATTCGAATGCCCTCAAGAGACGATTGGAAATTCATGAGAGACGCTACTTGTTCCCTTGCTGCTCCCGCCCTCCCCAGTCCCCGCCAAGTCAGCAACGAATGGCTACCTTTTGGTGACGGCAAACGGGGGTCTGAACCAGATGCGAGCTGCGGTGAGTGCTCATTTTGAACCTGCATGATAATCTCTCAGAGCTCCCACAATATCAATAACGTTTTCACGCAGCTCCCATAGCACCAATAAACTGATTCTATAGACAGTCAGGCATATTGCCGCATCGTGAATTCAGAAAGCGAGAGAGGGAAGCTAAGGGCGCGAGGACAGCTACTTTCCAGGCTGCTTGCTTCGTTCTGCTCACTGTTACTATTGCCCATTCCCACTACACCCGATGCCTAACCCACACATAGATCTGCGACATGGTGGCAGTGGCTCGCATTATGAACGCCACCCTTGTGGTGCCGGAGCTGGACCACACCTCCTTCTGGTCCGACCCCAGGTATGTGCGTGTGCTGCACAGAGATCATTGCATGAACAGTTATACAACCATTGGTTCCTTGTGGTGCCGGAGCTGGAGAACACCTCCTTCTGGTCCGACCCCAGGTATGTGCGTGTGCTGCACAGAGATCATTGCATGAACAGGTATACAACCACTAGTTCCTTGTGGTGCCGGAGCTGGACCACACCTCCTTCTGGTCCGACCCCAGGTATGCACTCAGGTGGTCCTTCAGGTGGTGCTGGAGCTAGACCAGACCTTCGTACTCGTATGTCTGACCCCAGGTATATGCATTAGCAGCTCAGAGGCCGTTGCATGCACAGGTACACGACTTGTTGGTTGTTTGAGAAGGCGAAATGCGCAGTAGAACCCTTGTAATGCCGGAGCTTGAGTTTTGGTCTGATCCGCCCGCAGGCATGCGTGTCCTGTGCTTGCACAGGGGCCATCATCACATGCCCAATGGATCACTTTGTTGCCCTCAGTGGATCATATGCTCAAGGATGACTTTCTCCTGTGCACTCACTGTTTCGCCCATCATTTCTCTCCACCCACTCGCACTTCCGCTCCCCACTCGTCCCAGCGAGTTTGAGGACATATTCGACCTGAAGCACTTTGTTGAAACGCTCAAGGACGACATCCGCATGTGCCCTCACTGTTTAACTCGAAATGTTATCTCCTACTCCCTCTTCCACTCCCCTCGTCAGCGAGTTTGAGGACATATTCGACCTGGAGCACTTCGTTGAGACGCTCAAGAACGACATCCGCGTGGTCAGGGAGCTGCCCCGCAGAGTCGCCCACCGCCGCGTGCTCGAGAAGTTCCCCATCTCCTGGTCGCCGGTACGTCCCCAGTTGTACTTTTGCAAATGTTTGTAAGAGATCATATACATATGAATTGCCCCGCAGAGGCCCCCCTCAGTGTGCTTGAGAAGTTCCCCATCCCGTGGTCGCCGGTATGTGTTCACTCCTGGTAAATTTGTGAATGAAGAATGTGTATACTGACCTGCCTTCTGTGAATACGTTCTAGGTTCCTCCCCCTTGATAGGTCCTTTTTTTCCCCCTCATTAAACCCTGTCTTTTCCTTTACCGCCTCCATCCATTCCCTTTCCATCCCCTACCCAACCCCCTTCCCTTCCTAACCCTCCCCCTTAACTTACGCCTCTCGGTTCTCCTATTATCGCAAGAACCTTCCTCTCCGCCTGAAGAAGCACCGAGCTATGCGGTTCCCTCTGACCTGCTTCGCCCCGTCATTCCCCCTCCGCCCCTCTTTCCCCCGCCCCCAGTTCTCCTACTACCATGAGGACCTTCTCCTGTGCCGGAAGAAGCACCGGGTGATGCGCTTTTCCTTCACCCACTTCGCCCTGTCATTTCCCCTCCACCTTTCTCTCTCCTTCCCCCAGTTCTCCTACTACCGCGAGGAGCTTCTCCTCCGCCTGAAGAAGCACCGGGTGATGCGGTTCCCCCTGACGGACTCGCGGCTGGCCAACAACGGCATGCCCGAGTCCATCCAGCGGCTGCGCTGCCGAGCCAACTACCGCGCCCTGCGCTACACGGACACCATCTCACGCGTTGCCAGCAATCTAGTCGCCCGGCTGAGGAAGCTCGGGCCCTACATCGCCCTGCACCTGAGGTAAGGAGGAGATGGGGTAGGGTTGGGTCGGGGTTTGACACAATTGATGCCAAGCCAACTACCGCGCCCTGCGCTACACGGACACCATCTCGCGCGTTGACAGCAATCTAGTCGCCCGGTTGAGGAAGCTCGGGCCCTACATCGCCCTGCACCTGAGGTGTGTACATGCATTGCACTGGCAGGGAGCGCGGTAGGGAAGGACATCAGGGGAGCAGGTGATTAGGCTTTCCCCTGACGGATTCGTCAACAACGGCATGCCCGAGTCCATCCAGCGGCTGCGCTGCCGAGCCAACTACCGCGCCCTGCAGAATACGGACACAATCTCTCACGTTGCTGCCAATCTGGTGGCTCGTTTGAGGAAGCTCGGGCCCTACATTGCATTGCACCTGAGGTGAGGTGAGGGAAGGGTTGGGTCGGGGTTTGACTCCACTGATGGACATGTTGGTAGGAGAAGGACATGTTGGCGTTCACAGGGTGCGACCACGGGGTTGATAGTTGACCTGCACTCATTATTTTCCCCCACCCTGCCCTCTCACCCGTCCAGGTACGAGAAGGACATGCTGGCATTCACAGGGTGCGACCACGGGCTGAGCGTTGATGGTTAACCTGCACGCACTAATTATTCCCCTACCCTCTCACCACCCGTCCAGGTACGAGAAGGACATGCTAGCATTCACAGGGTGCGACCACGGGCTGAGCCGGTGGGAGAGTGGGGAGCTGAGGGCGATGCGGCTGAACAACTCGCGGTGGAAGGAGAAGGACATCGACGGGGAGGCCCGGCGCAAGGAGGGCGCGTGCCCCCTCACGCCGAAGGAGACCGCGCTGTTCCTGCACGCCATGGGTTTTCCCAAAAAGACGTTGATCTACATTGCTGCTGGGGACATCTACGGTTCTAAAGGGCTCTCGGTAAGGAGACAAAATGGAAGCTATTTGGTGTGCATCAAGGTGAGTGATATTCGAGGATGCTTGTCGTGCCCCCTCGCGCCCAAGGTGCCCACTCTGTTTCTGCACGCCATGGGAATTTTCTAAGAAGGCGTTGATCCACATTTCTAAAGTTCCCTCGGCGAGGAGAAGAGGAGGATGCTTGTCATGCCAGCTCACCCCTGGTAAGCCAACGGTGCTGTTTCTGTGTGCCATGAGGTGAGGATAACAGGTCATCTCTTACGCCTTCTGTTCTCGTCCCTGCCTTTTTGCCCTTTTGTTTAACCCCTCTCCAACGCCTTCCCCTCGCCAGGAGCTGACGCGGTACTACCCCAACACGTTCACACACTCCACTCTAGCAACCCCTGAGGAGCTGGCGGCGCTGGGGGGGTATCAGAACAGGCTGGCAGCAGTGGACTACACAGTGGCGGTGGAGAGTGACGTGTTTGCATACACGTATGAGGGCAACATGGCGAGAGCTGTGCAGGGGCATAGGCGGTTTGAAGGGCACAGGAAGACCATCATTCCTGACAGGTGAGGGCGAGAAGATGATAAGTGGAGTTTGATGTGTTTGCATACACATAGAGGGGAATGGTCGTGCAGTGCAGGCACACCAGCGGTTTGAAGGACCCAGGGGGGTGATCATCCCTGACAGGTGAGGGCGAGAAGATGATAAGTGGAGGGTGATGTGTTTGCATACACATAGAGGGGAATGGTTGTGCAGTGCAGGCACACCAGCGGTTTGAAGGACCCAGGGGGATGATCATCCCTGACAGGTGAGGGCATCAAGGCAGTGGAGGGTGATGTGTGTTCACGTGCAGGGGCACAGGATGTTTGACTCTTCCAATCCCCTCCCCATTGTGCAAGCACCCTCCCCATTGTACAAGCACCCTCCCCATTGAGACACTTCTTCCCGCCCTCTCTATTCCCCTGATCGGGGAGGCGGTGGTGCAGCTGCAAGACCAGTTCACGCCGGGCAAGATGACAGAGTGTGTAAGGAGACACGGAAGCAGCACAAGGGGCGTGTGGAGGGCCCACTCCAAAGGACAGGCCAGTTCAATCCCCTTGTGATGCTTCTTTCCCCCATTCACCCCCCGCCCAATCAGGGAGGCGGTGGTGAGGTTGCTGGACCAGTTCAAGGCGGGTGAAATGACCTGGAACGCGGTGCGCAAGGAAATCAGGAAGCAGCACAAGGGGCGCGTGGGGGGGCCTCACCAGCGGGAGGCTGGGGAGAACCCGAAGCTGGAGGAGAATTTCTATGCGAACCCCATGCCGGGGTGTATGTGTGAGGTGGAGAGGCAGCCGGGCAAGGCGGTGAAGGCGTGCCGAATGGAGGGCGGGCTGAGGAAGTGCAGGGAGGTTCCCAAGGAGGAGGAGGCGTACATTTAGTTTCATCTAGTGCAGCTGAGAGTTCAGCAGTGAAGGCTTGGCTTGGGAGACTTGAGCAACCTGTAGGATAGGGAGATGAGTTGTAGAGGGGATAGATGGGGTAGAGGGGATTCTGGTAGATATGGGTGGGAGGTTGGGATGAATTGCGGTCTGGGATGCAGATGGTTCACAAAACGATTCGTGAGGGAGTTTTCTAGTCAGTTGGGGTCCCAGCCAAGAGCCTGAATAGTCGCAACTCACATGGTTTGGTTGCTGTCACAAGGGGATCGGACTGTGTGGCATGACCTTGGGGGCCCGAGTTTCTGTCACATTGAGAATCGGAGGCATTGGAGCAGTGTGGTTTCAGGTGTATGACTGGCTGGCTGGCGCAGGCTGGCTCTGTGTGTCGACTCACCACCAGCCGTTGACTGGCATTGATTAAGATGTGTTGCTCTTTCCACACGATGGTTGAGAGAGTAAGAGTTATGTGTCAATGCAATGAATGTGGAACATTGATCTGACTTTCTGCCTTCCGACTCCAATACGAACTGCCTGAGTTGGGCACACGTGGGTCATCACCAACACTCTTGTGTTGACTGCGAGTGTTCAAGCCCAGGTGAAAATGCCCTGATTCAGCATAGCCTTCTTCGTTAGCAGCTTCTTGCACACTGGTTCAAATCCCCTATTAGATATGCCCATCTGGTGTGGCCATCAACCAACCTAAGCTTTGCTAGCGTCCATCCATGCAGTCACTTTGTTTTGTCTGATAATCTGAAGCAAAAAACTCATGACTAGTTTAGTATCTTTTGCATGGTGTGGAAGCTGTTTATTAGATGGATAGCTTCACTCTTGTCATGCCGACGCCAGTTCAGTGATGCGATTGAGTTCGGTCCTACGCGGTAACACACGAAAGAGGTTCGGTTTATGTAGTCCAGTTCAGTGCAGTCCCGAAGTCTCGTTGACACAGCAGAGTGAGCACCACCCGCAGGCGTGCAGCAGACACCGTTTTCAGAGCATGGTGGCGCCTGCCACGGCATAACCTTGGTTGGTCCCTTAGTTCCGATTCGGCACATTTCGCGGACTTTTCTATTGTCAGTGGTTTTGAATGAAGCGTGCGGAAAGGGAGGTGCGGATTCAGAGGGAGGGGAGGTCAGACGAGGAAGTGGACGGCGGGCAGGGTAGACGACGAGAGCGACAAGAACGCAGGGCGAAACGAGTCAACAGAAGTAGTGAGAATGGAGAGAGCGGAAGCGACAGAGAAAGAGACACAGAGAAAGACAGAGATAGTGACAGCGGAAGCGATACCAGCAGGAGCCGTGACAGGGAGACGAGAAAGAAGGCCAGGAATGGTGGGAGTACGAAGAATAAGGCGGAGCGTGAACTTCGGCGTAGGAGAAGCCGGAGTAGGAGCAGGAGTGCTAGCGGCAGCGATTTGGATGGCCGCGATCAGCGGAGGAGCTTAAACGGCAAGCGCAGGAGGCGAGATGCCAAGGGGAGAAGGAAACGAAGCTTGTCCCGTGAAAGAAGCAGCAGCAGTGGCGGAAGCAGTGGCGACAGCGACGATGAGGGGAAGGGTCATGAGGTGGAGAGAGAAAAGAAGCGGTGAGGGTTTCGTCCCCCCCAAAAAAAGGGCTCGAATCTAACTTTGATGTTACGTCGAGCAGGCTTCTCTAAGATTCGTTTTGTTCTTAAGCTGTTCCTGCATTATTGCGAATGCCTTTGAAGTTTCCAGAAAACCCGCTGAAATCGCTCCTGCGTTCTTCTGAACGAACACGCAACCCTTCCTATGAATTTTGCTTGGTTTTGAGAACCTCCCGCTCCATCTTTAAGGCGCCTCAAAACTGAACACCCACCCTTCCTCCATCTATCACAGCAGGCGAAAGCATGCAAAAGACAAGGCAGGCAGCAGTAGGAGCATCAAGAAACCAAGAAGGAAGAGGAAGAAGAGGAGAAAGGAGGAAGGGGATGATTCCAACACATCAGATGATGGAAGCAGCGAAGAAGGGAGGAGCAGCAGTGGCAGCAGCAGCAGCAGCAGCAGTAGTAGTAGTGGTAGTGATAGTGATGATGATAGTGAAAGAAGTGACACTGTAAGCGGTAGTGATAGTAGTGAAGTGAGTGAGAGCGAAGATAGCAGGGGGAGGAAGCGGAGGAGGCAGACAAGAAAGAGGAACCGGAAAGGCAGGAGGAAAAAGGTGGAGAAAGGGAGAAAGGAGGAGCGGAGGAAGAGGGAAAAGGACCGAAAGAAAGACAAGCATAATAAAAGGAGAAGGCGAGAAGGCAGCCGAAAGGACAGGGGGGACGAGGAGAGCCAAGGAGGGGATGGGATGGTGATCGGGCAGCTTGGCAGGAGCAGCAGCAGGGGAGGGAAAATACAAAGCAATGCGATGCTGTCGAATGGAGCAGCAGGGGCGGATGACGACGGGCGCAACGACCTAAAGAAGTCCTTCAACGACCTGCATGTCAGATTCTCGCCTTGCTAGCTACCAAACGTGACTTCTTGAGTCTGACTCAAAAGTCAAGCTGAAAAGCATCCGTCAATGACCTCCATGTCAATGAAAAGCCCCTCTTTCTTTGCTACTTCCCCTCCTCCTGCCCCCTGTTCACGCCCCTTTTTTTGGCGCACTAAAGAAGGCCCTTAATGTCCTCCTGAGAATGTTTTTTTTTGCAACCCTTTCCTGCCATTCTCCCTTCCCTTCCCGTCTCCTCCCCCTATCCCCCCCCCCCCCCCCTCACCCCTCCCTGCCATTCGCCCTTCCTCACCCCTCCCTGCCTGTCTTCTTCTTTTCTTTTCATGTTTCCCTTTCCTCGCTATATTTTCTCGTTGTTGTCTTATCCTTTTCAGCTTAACCGTGCCTTCTTCTCCTCTGTGTGTGTGTGTGTTGCGTCTCTCCAGGCGCGTATGATGGAGCAGGTGGAGCAGAAGGAGGTGCTTCGGCAACGGGCACAGCATGCTAAGGTACCACCGTCCATATCAGCTTTTTTTTGCACGAAATAAGATTGGAAAAATGACACATCCAGCACACATCTGTACACAACCCGACCCCAGTGGCCTCAAACAGCACAAGTATGCCAAGATTGCCTCCACCCCAAATCTTCTTCGTAATCCCTCTCCACTCCACGTAACCCTAACCGCAGGAGCAATTGCGCTCAGGCGAGTGGAGGAAGGCACGAGACGAGCAGGCAAATATGCAACGCTTCTTTGGCTCTGTTGACTGGAGGTGTGCTCTTTCATTGGCTTCTTCCTTGATAATATTTTCGTTCGGTTGAATGAAAGTGTTTGTGCTTGCCACTGTTTTTTGGCGTGAATGAACCATTTAATTCTCCCCCTGTCTCTTCTCCCTTCCCGTTTCGCTCTTCCACTCCTTCCTTCCTCCTCGCCCTCGTCGCATATCGTTCTCACATCCTTCCACAGTTTGAATCTTCTCATATCCTCCTCTTTATGTCCTCCTTATGTTTCGTTAACATTTGTGGTGTTTCCTCCAGTCTCGCTCGGTCCCGTGCGCGCTCTCTCACACCACACCATCCTCACCCATGTGCACCCACTCACACCACGCTTGCTCCCTTACACCACACTCACCCTCTCACACCCCCCCTCTCTCTCTCGCAATCCTGTCTGATTGTTATTGTCCCTTGCAGGGAGCAAAAAAAGCTTCGCATGGAAAAAAGAGTGAGCGTTGCCCTTCCTCTATAATATTCCCCTCCTCAGACATCACCACACACAAACATGCTTATCGTTTTTTCTATCATAAGCTGTGTGTGTCAGCTCCCTTGAGAATAATCAACCAGCGATCGCACTGTCACACTGCCCTCAGTCACTGCCACACATTTCGTGCTTATCCTTCTTTTGGTGGTTGAGTCTACTCTTCTTTTGAAAATCAGTAAAATCAGCTGCAACACCTGGCGTTTGCTCCTGCTTTTGGCGTGAATACATATTACTTTTGCTGCCGAAAATTCCAAAGCCACCACTTATTTCCGGCCTCTGCCCTTACTTGCTCTGCTCTCCTCTGGTTTGCTGTGCTCTTGTCTTCTTGGCGACACACTCAACTCAACCCCTCTCAACCACTCTCAACCGCTCTCCACTCATCAGAAGCTGGAGCGCACAGTGCATGCAGGCAACAAGCTGGCGAAGCTGGAGGCGAAGGAAGCTGCGAGGATGGACGCCTTTCGCGCTGCGGTGAGTTTCGCTGTCCCCCCCTTAGTGCCTACCCCTCTTGAGATGCGTGTTGATACATTCAAAGGTGTCACAGAGTTCAAACTGGAGGCAAAGGAAGCTGCGAGGATGGACGCCTTCAGAGCTGCGGTGAGATTCGTTTCCTCCTCATCAACCTTTTCAGTTCCTATTTCTTTTCTGCATGTCTTTTGAAAAGTCTCGAAACCCAAAGCTGGAGGCAAAGGAAGCTGCAAGGATGGACGCCTTCAGAGCTGTTGTGAGTTGCTGTTCCTCCTTTTAGTACCTTCCCCTTTTGAGGCAACTTCTGAGACGTTTCTTGAGGCACGTCAAGACCCGAAGCTGGAGGCAAAAAAGGCTGCGCGGATGAATGCCTTCAGAGCTGCTGTGAGATTTCGCTGCTGTGAGGAACAGCGCCAGGCAGAGTGGAGGGCAACAGGCCCTCAAGCCATGGCATCCTTCCCACTTCTTCTCACCCCTCTCTACTCCCTTCCACTCGTCTCCATTCCTCTCCACTCCTCTCCACTCCTCTCCACTCCTATCCACTCCTTCCCACTCTTCCACTTCCCTCCTGGCCCATCCCCCTCCCTCCTCTCACAGTTGGGCCTGCCCTCATCAGAGGCGCAGCGGCAGGCAGAATGGAGGGCAGCAGCCACCCAAGCGATGGCTGCTGCTGATGCTGCTGCTGCGGCTGCTGCTGCTTCTAGGGATGGTGGCTTACGAAGGGTGAATAGCAAAGAGCGGAGATAGCAGATACGCATGCCATGGCTGCTGCTGCTGCTGCTGCTGCGGCTGCGGCTGCGGCTGCGGTTACGGCTGCTTCTGCTGTTGCTGCTGCTTCTGAGAGCGGTGGTTTACGAAGAGTGAATAGCAAAGAGCGGAGATAGCAGATACGCATGCCATGACTGCTGCTGCTGCTGCTCACACTGAGGGAGTTAGCAAGGTCAACAGGGTCAAAATGTAAGCATGTTAAATAGGGTGATCAAGGTTTACGGGCTCAACAGGTGAACAGGTTTCAGGGACAACAGGGACAACAGGGTCAACAGGGTCAATACTGTAGCTGAGATCATAGCTGGCAGTGATCAGCACAGAAGCCAAAACAGTGTAAAGAAGCTGGCAGTGCGACAATTGTTTTGCGTCTTGGAATCTTCCCAGCTCTAGTAGTTTTGTTCCAGACAAAAATAGTGGTTTTGTTCCAGACAAAAATACTGCTGCAGATGGTTTCACCACATCATGAAAGGAGATAATGATACAGTAAAAAATCAGATGGCAATTATAAGGTGTTAACGCAATCAATTGTGCACAGACAGAGTGAAGAAAAAGGCAGTCCAGGTCAGTCTTCCTTGCGCTTGCTCACATCACCACTGCCGCCGCCATCAGAGATAGACCTTCTCACAATGTAAGCCGACAACGAGGACGAGAGCTTCCCAGGGAGACTTCCTCTAGAAGCGAAAGGCCGTAGTGGGGAGGTATTAAAGAAAGCAGCAGAGGAGAAGGGCATTGAGCAGGGTGAACCAGCGTCATGTGAGAGAGCTGATGCCACAGGAAACGAGTCATGAGAGTTGACCAATTCCCGAGGAGGAGCAAACGCCGATCCAGGTTTTCCCAGACCCCGCGCTGCTGCTAGCCCTGGTTCCATGACCAGCCCTGTGTCCGAACCTCTTCCCGAACCTGCCTCTCCTTGCTTTCCCTGACATGAGCTGCTTTTCCTCGCTCCCCTACCACCACGTCCTCCTCTCCCTTTCCTCCCTGAATCCCTTTTCTCCTCTCTGGCTCCTTTCCCTTCAAGCCCTGTTTCTCCTCCAAACCCTATTTCTCCTCTGTACGCCTGTCCCACCCTTGTTCCCGATCCTGACTTCCCCAGAATCCGTAGCCGCGAAAACCATCCTTGAAACGGATTCAGACGGATGTGATTAAAACGAAGGTGTTTCACGAACCACAGCCACCGGCCGGGGCTTCTGCCGGCCGCTTGGACGGCCGCGGCGAACGCGAACACCTTAAAGGGTCCGTCTATAAAGGAGATGAACGAGCGGTAGTGGGAAAACGCGCAGGACCAGCGATAGCTGCAGAAGGGGAGGGCTGCGAGCATGATGAAAAGCTGGATTCCGCAACCGAGGATGAGTATAGCGAGTACAGACGCCGCGAGTTGCGCGGACCAATCATGGTGACGGTGGCGGGTGTGATTGTATGGGGGGTGTGCCGGCTGGGAGATGGGCTGAGAGGAAGACCTCGTCACTGCCACTGCGCATGAGGCGGGGAAGAGGGGAGGGAGGGGGACGCGGGGTGCGGGTGTGTGTTGGGGGAGGGATGGGGAGCGGAAGGGGGGAGGAAAGGGGGTGAGAAGAGGGATCCTGTAGATATCGGTCATGTCGGCGGCAAGAGAGGCTCAGGTGACTTTTGAGTCGACTCAAAAGTCACCTGAAAGGGGGTGAGCAGAGGGATCATGTAGATAACGGTCGTGTCGGCGGCTAGAGAGGCTAAGCATGAACACGCGTGTCGTCTCAGCTAACAGTTAAGAAAACACGAAGTGTCGCAGTTTCTTATCCTACACAGTTAAGCTGTCCGTGTCTTATCCTACATCGAGGGTAAGTGACTGTCGACGGAAATTACGACCTCCGGCTGACGGTCCGACTGTCGAGGCGACTCGGAAAACGGCACGACTAGACTACAGCTCTGTAGCAGCCCAGAAACACCACGGACAAGCGGAACGTTAGCGACACGCACCTCGCCAGTAGTACGTCCCCGTTTGTATCACATCCGATTCAGTCAACACGAGCGGTGCACCCTGTGACGCCTTGTCGCCGAGCACGAGACAGCCCGGCGACCCCGTGAGTCGCTCCAACGCGTCGCATACCTCGCCGGCCGGCTTGCCGCCTAGGAACTGCGCGAGAACAGAGTCGGAGCGCGCATCGCGGACTACTATGGCTGTAGGAAGAGGTAGCACTCGCGCTGGTGCCATACATAACTGGTGATTTCACTAACCACAAGGAGTGCACGGAAGGAAAATAAATATAAAAATATATAATTTTTGAAGTCTTTTGGATACCGGGCCTATTAGCTCAGCTGGTTAGAGCGTCGTGCTAATAACGCGAAGGTCACAGGTTCGAAACCTGTATGGGCCAAAAGGTTTCGACGCTAATCAGTACATATTTATTTTAGACCCCTGCTCAGACTGAGGAAAGTCATTTTTTAGTGTGTCAGGACATCAATGACACCTTGGCTTATATGCGTTGGGGTATAACGCACATGACCAATTAGTTGCGCATCAATCTGGTTAGAATGTAGTGCACAAGAGGAATTCCTAGTTATATGGTATTGGATTGTAGCATGAAAAGGGTGGGATACCAGTAGAGTCCAAGTTGATGATATAAGGGATTCTAAGTGGGTGCAGGGTTGTAGCAACTTAGAGAAAGCTAATTTATGTGGGTGTGGTGTTGCATGGCACAATGACGGTGGAATTTCGAGGTCGAAAGGTACGGATCGCGTGGCCGGATTCAATCTGCCCTGGGTTGAACTCGCATCGCAGTCGTTACAGGCACATCTATGTTCTAGCATTTTAGGTGATAACGAGGGTGGGTCCTTCGGGCTTGGGCAAACATTCAGATGATGGTACCAGACGGTTGAAATGTCTGTCTTGTGTTCGGATGCGATAGAGCGTGGTTACATATGTCTTTCGCTTACCATGATTCCGATCTTGCAAGTGGTCGATGTTCCACTTCCTCCCCATCAGACCGCTCGGCACTCTCCCTGATTGAGTGCTGCTGATTTTGGTTGGCACCAACTGTGTATGTGAATGATTCAACGTGAATCATCTAGCCCCTCAAAGCTCCCATCCCATTATGACTAGAGCAGCACAGAAGGCTCAGTTGTGTTTGACTCATGATTTGTTTCGGACCTGATTGTGTCCCGTTCGTAAGATCAGCCTTCTTTTCTCAAGAGCAACTATTGTGTCAGGAAGTACGCAACCCACATCGTGTATTTTCCCTTGCCTTGGACGTCAATCAAAACCACTTGTAGGGCTTCACATCGCTAGCGGGATATGTATCACCCTCGCCCTTCTCGCGCCGGGCCGCGCGCCGTCGCACGGTACCTGGAAACCGTCAGCGACCCTCACGATCACGAGCGACGTCGTGCGAAGGTCACTGCGATGTCGAACGACCTCAGCTTAATTCGCCAGCGGTTTCGCGAAGTGCAAGAGGACGACATGTACCTGTCGCAGGAGCTCGAGCGCATTCAGCGGCAGCGCGAGGAAGAGGCGCGCCACGAGGCGAAGCTGGATTTCCGCGGGCTTCGGCTCTACCGCGAGTTAACCGCCACGTCCGAACCCATGTATTGGCGAGGAAATCCAGAAAAAACGGAAACTCCGGGCGCCAAGACAACCGCACCGGCTGCTGGTAACCCTGGTAACCCCCAGGGTGGTAACATGTGGAGTTACTCCTCTGTCGCTCCCTCTTCGTCGGGTTCCAAGCCGCAGTATATGGGTCAGACGACCACTTCTGGGGTGACCTTTTATGGCGCGTATGGCGGCGGGAGAAGCGGACGGATTGAGACTTACGAGACTGCGGTGAAAAATGGGGAAAGCGAGGGGAAGAAAGCTGAGGGCAAGAAGAGCGGTGGGGGTTTTGCGAGCTGGCTGATTGGAGGGGCGGACCAGGAGCAGCACCTACTGTGGGATGAGCCGAAATATAAGGAGGGTGAGGCGAAGCTGATTTTGTGAGGGAAGTTTAGAGGTCGACATAGCGAAGGTAGGTCGTTGTTCGTAGGAGGACCGTGGAAGTAAGGGGTCGTTCGTATCATAGAGCGGGTGAACTTCTGTCACTAAGTGCATAATTATCTGTCAACTACAGATGCAGTCGTTAGCTCATTTGAATTTGCCTTTTATGTTACAAGGGTAGTTTTAGACACAAAGCCAACAATATTTCAGATACGCTTGGAACCAAAGCCGCTTGAAGGTTTTGGTGTACATGCTACACCACGAATTCCATCATCATACCAAGTCAAATGACTCCTTACGGTCACATTCTGTACTATCACATGTAAGAATTTCGAGCCACGTCCCTCTACTTCGGAGCCCCTTCGACGTGGCAAGCGACTTGGACTGCGAGGCGCCCGCGATTACAGCAGGCGTCGTCAACGCACCGCGAATTCAATGTCGAGGGCACATCGCGCTTCGTTACAACCAATCCACTCCACTCCACCCCGCCTCCAACCCGTGACCATTTCCCTTTCCCCCCTCATTCCCTACCCTCCCCTCCCCCTCCCCCCTCAACCAATCCATTTCGCCCCTCCTTCCCTTCCCTTGCATTTTCCTCCCATCCCCCCCAATTGCCCCTCTTCCGTTGCAAGCAGCATGTTTATTCCAACTCCTCTCCATTCCCGAATCCTGGTTGAATCAGGCTACAGTTCGACCTCTCCCCTTCATACCTGCGCCTCATAGGGTATTCTATCAATTTTGTCATTTGGCATCCCACTTCCTTTCTGGTGACGACGAGTCTATGGTGTCGTAGCTTCCACTTTGCGCTATGTTATGATTGCGTAGCGGCTGCTCTCGTGGAACTAGAAATCGAGCTACAACAGATTCTGGGATTCCTTTTAATCTCCTGGGTTCCGCAAATGAACTCCCTCAAGGTCTAAAGACACCCCCGTAGTCCACGTTCCGACAGGCAGATTAGGATTTCTCAGCATATTAAGGACTTAGTATGTATTCCCACGCGCCTTACGGCGAGCGGCGACGGGGCCGCCCGTCGCCCGCGGAGTTTTACCTAGAAGATCGCAGCGAGCGCGAGCGACGTCGCGCGGAGATCGGCGGCTTCAGCAAGGATCTGGAGGAGATGCGACAGCGACTGCGTGCGATGAGGGTGGAGGAGACTCAGGAGATTCAGCAGCTGCGGAAAAAGCAGGAGCATGAGGCGTTCGAAGCGGAGCAGGCGCAGAAATTGCGCGAGCAGCAGATTCTCCTCCTGCAGAAGCAGCGCCAGTTATCTTACGCCACGTGGCGTGGCGAAGGCACGCGTCCGTACGAGTCGCCGTTCGAGAAGGAGTCGGAGCTGCTACCCTCCGCGTATCACGCTGTGGTCGGCAAGCCGCACTTACCTGTTGCGAACGCACCAATGAGAGTTGACCACGTGGAGCTTCCTCCGCCAGTATGGTCCGCGACGCGTTCGTCCGCGAGCCTCTTTAACTACGCGAGCCGCGGCACCGGCTCTTACAGTCGGGCCACCGGGTCCGGGGCGCGCGGCTTGGGCGCCGCAATGCCCGGCGTGAGCAGCGGCGCGAGCCGGAGCAGCGGAGGAAGCAGCTTGTCGGACGCCGTTTGCTCTAGCAGCAGCAGCAGCGGCGGCTGTGACGTGACGGCTAGCCGTCAGTCTGACGGAAGAAGGTACGTGACGGCCGGAGGCTACGGTCACGGTGGTATCGCAAATGACGTGGCGATGACGTCACACCCGTACAGCGGCATTGTCCCTCCTTACACCGGCTTCAGCTTGAAGAGCGCTACGAGCGGGGCTGGCGAGAGCGCCCGTTACAATCACACTCGCAGCGCGACCAGCAGCAGCAGCACGGACGGAAGTGACGATACTGAAGATTTCGACCCGCGTGGCCAGCGCAATCCGACCGCGCTACCCGTTCCAAAGCTCCCCACCCCGCCTGTGCCTGCGCCTGCGCGTGCGCCTAACCCCTTCGTTTCTGTCACGCCTCAGACCATCCCGCTCGCTGTTAACACATCCGTTAGTGGAGCTAACGGCAGTGTCATGGCGGGCGTTTCGTCCTCACCGCCGTCGGATCCTTTTCAGGAGCAGCCATCTGAGCCGTCCACTCCGATCGTCCTCTATTCGCCCACCGCGTTTGCCGCTCGCCATCCCTCCCTCCAGCCGTCGTTCAGCTGCTTCCTCACCTCCTCCGCGCTCCACTCCTCCGCTTCCTCCTTTTCCTCTTCCTCACCTTCTGCCACCTCCGCCTCACTATTCTCCCCCGCTTTATCCTCGTCTCTGTCAGCCTCGCTATCCACTACTGCCGATGCTGCGGAGGCTGCCGATTCCGACGATGCGCCTCTTCTCTCGTCGTCGACTCAATCTGGATCTGCGCCCGCCGCTCATTATAATCGCTACGCTGAAGACGCGCTTAAGGCTTCCGCCTGGAGCCCTCCGCGCGGCTCTCTTCCGCCCCCTCCCAGCGGTTCCGCGGATGCTGTTATTGTCGAGCCCTTGCCGCCCGCGGCCACGTCAGCACAATCCGACGTGGCAGATGCGACGTGGCAGGCACCCGATGCCTTGTCTGCGCATCCCTTCGCTCACTCCGCAAGTCGCGCCGCATTCGACGGCGGAGTCGCTCCTTCTCTGCCTCATGCCTCCCTTCTGATGTCTTCTCACGACTTCGCGGAAGATTCGGATGGAGTAACAAAGGCTGTGGCAGCGCCGAGTGCGGCTAGCACCGCACCTGACGCCGCATCTTCCGCCGCGAATGGCGCCGCAACGGCCGCCGCCGGTGGCAGCTCGTTTCTCGGAAACCTCTTCTCATGGACGCGCGCAGAAACGACAACGCAGCCGTCCAAAACTGTGTCGCTGCCGCCCACGCTTTCTCTCGCGTCAGCACAGGTGTTCACTGGACCAGACCTTCACTCCACGTCATCGTACTTCGGTTCCACGTCATCAGGCAGCTCCAACCGTTCGATCAACGGCTACGATGCGGAGTCGGAGGGCATCGACGGCTCAAAGTCCAAGGAGGGAAAAGTTGAAGAGAGTGGATATGATAACAATATAGAGGATGACAGTAACGAGCTCGACGAGCCGCTTTATTTGCTGGACACCAAGCACGGATCGCGCAGGGAAGTTGGATGTGATTATAGCGAGCGTTCCACTAAGGAGCCTTCTTCTGCTGCGCTGAACAGAGCTCTAAGCAAACTTGCTGAAACGAATGGCGCTTCGCATGCCACCGCTGCTGCTACTGATGTTTCTGCTACAGCCTCTGCAACAGGTGCTGTTACTGTTGCTACAGCTGCCACAGCCGCTGCTACAGTGCCTGCTACAGCTGGAGGGTTGGCGAGTATGAGCTTCACTAGCCGGCTGAGCCAGCTGATTGGCTTAGGCAGCGGCGGCGGTAACAGTGACAGTAACGGGAACGGTAATGGAAACGGTAACAGTGACGGTAACGGTATTGGTGCTGTTACCAGCGGTGTAGGAAGTGGCATTGGCGGTGGGAAGGGATACGCGTTATTGAGCTTGGATGAAGGCGACGCTGTGACGTTTAACGAAGCGAGCCCGTCCTGCTGGGCTCCCACGTCAGCAGGCACCAACATAACGGGTGCATCTCCTGCTGCTCCTCTTGCCGCTTCGTTTGCGAGCATGGGAAATATGGAGGAGATTGAAAATGGATTCAAGGCGCTTCGAAGCGCGGAAGCGGGAGAAACGGCAACGGATGGAGAAGGGGCCATGGATGGGGTGGTTCTGCTCGCTGCTGCCGCTCCTGCTGCTCCCGCTTCTCCCGCTACTCCCGCTTCTCCACCCTTTCCCAGCCTTGTTGCCCCTGCCGCAGCGGCGCCACCTGTCTCCGCTGATACCGCGGTTCCTGCTGCTTCTGCCCCTGCTGCCGCCTCTGTCACGGCTGCCAATACGGTTGCTGCTTCTGCTGCTGCTGCCGCCGCTTCTGGTTCTGCTGCTGATTCGTTGTCCGCGAAAGGCAAGGGGAAGGCGCCCAAGTCGTCGTCTAAAGCGGCTGCTGCGGCCGCCATTGCTGCCGCCGCTGCAGCCAAGATTGCCGCGCTGGGGATTGGGGGGAAGGCGGAGGAGAAGCGCCAGGCGGAAGTGGGGGAAGAAGAAGCGGGCGGGAAGTCAGGAAGCCGGGGGAAAGAAGGAGAATGGGGAGAAGGGGAAGCGGAAGAAGATGAGGCGGAGGAAGAGAGGCGAGGGGAAGGGCGGAAGGCTTTCTGGGATGAGGGGGAATATGAGGGGGAGGGGGAGGCGGAAGAGGAGGTGAACGAGATTCTAGAGCTACAGGAGTGGATGGAGGCGCAGATGCTGGTTGAAGGGGTGCGGAGAGCGTTCATGCGCGGAGGGACTGGGGGAAGCGGAGCGGTTGGGGGGAGTGGAGATACTGGGGGAAGCGGAGGAGGGAGAGTGAATGAGGTGGAAACCGGAGGGGGCGTAGGAGGGGGAGCGGCAGTAGCAGGAGCAAGAGGAACAGCAGCAGCGAGCGTGTGTGATGCCGAGATGGAAGCATGGATGCTTGCTCTGCCTCCGCTGGTGGTTATGGCTCGTAGTGACGATGGTGTGGAGGATACGAGTGAAGAGGAGGGAGAGGAGGGAGAGGGGGGAGAGGGGGGAGAGGGAGAGGAGGGAGAGGGGGGAGAGGGAGAGGATTCAGGAGAGGGGAAGGAGGTGATGGAGGAAGGAGAGGAGGGAGAGGAGGAAGTGTTGTTGGAAGAGGAGGTAGAGGTGATTGAGTTGGAGGAAGGGGAGGAGTTAGAGGAGGGGATGGAAGTGGTTGAGATAGTGGAGAGGGAGGAGGAGGTGGAGGAGAGAGAGGAGGAAGAGGAGCATGAGGAGGGATTAGAGGAAGCGGAGAATTTGGAGGAGGATGAATTGGAAGAAGGGTGTTCGAGTGCAAGCGACAGCGAGTGTGGTGGGAAAGCGTATGGAAGCGAGAGAGAGGAGGGAGAGAGGGATTCTGGTAGTGAGTGTGGGAGTGAGTATGAGAGTGAGAGGGAGAGTGAGGATGGGAGTGTGAGTGTGAGTGAGAGGGATAGCGAGTGTGAGAGTGAGACAAGGAGCGAGAGTGGGAGCGTGTGTGGGAGTGAGATTGGGTCAGCGAGCGAGGCGAGTGAGGGTGTGAGTGTGGGGAGCGGTGGTGAGAGTGAAGATGAGAGTGAGGGGGAAAGGGAGGAGAGTGAGGACGAGAGAGAAGTGGAGATCGAGGAGTGTGGTGGTAGTGATGGGGAAGAAGTCGCTGAGGGGAAGTGTGGGAGTGAGAGGGAAGAGGAACGGAGCCTGAAGTGTGAGGGAGAGCTGGTTTTTGAAGTGAGAGGGAGAATTCTCAAAAACCAGGGAGAGGACGAGGATGGTGAGGAGGGAGGCGAAAGGGACGCGGGAGAGGAGGTTGCTGAGAGTGAGTGTGAGAGTGAGAGTGAGTGTGAGAGTGAGTGTGAGAGTGAGAGTGAGAGTGAGTGTGAGAGTGAGAGGGGAGAAGAAGGTAGTTTGAAGAGTGAGAATGAAAGAGAAGAGGAGGGAAGCGAAGGGAGTGCTGGGGAGGAAGTTTCTGAGAGTGAGTGTGGGAGTGAGAGGGGAGAGGAGGGGAGCTTGGCGAGTGAGGGAGAAGGCGAGGATGAGAGGGAAGAGGGCATCGTAGGGAGGGAGGAGGTGGAGAGGGAAGAGATGGAGAAGGTAGTGATGGAAGAGGAGGAAGGGATTGATAGCGAAGAGGGGGCTGAAATAAAGAACGAAGAAGCAGTAGAATCGGACAAATCACAAGAGGCACAAGGGGCAGAAGAGGCAGCAGACAGACGAGCGGAGAAATTACTGGGGGTAGCTGTGGAGGGGGTGAGTGAGGAGGGGGAAAGTGAAACGACTGGTGGTTGTGAGGACGAGGGTAAAGTAGTGTGTGAGGAGAGTGCTGAGAGTGCTGAGAGTGCTGAGAGTGCTGAGAGTGTGGAAGAGGGAGAGGAGGGAGAAGGAGCGGAGGAGAGTGTGGAGTTGAGTGGTGTGGAGAGAGTGGAGGGGAAGGAAGAAGCTTCTTCGTGCACTGATGAGGGGAGTGTGATGGGAGGAGGGGGTCGCGTTGGTGAGGAAAGGGGTGAGAAAGCACGCCTGGTAGCGAGCGCTGACCTGGTGGGAACTGTTCTTGATGCTGCTGATGTGGCAGTCGGTGCTGATGTGGCAGGAGCTGACGTGGCTGAAGATGCGTGTGTGTCAAGTTGTGCTGATGTGGCAGAAGGAGTTGATGTGTCAAGTGGTGCTGACGTGGTAGAAAGTCCGGAAGCATGTGACAGGCAAGCAGGGAAGGGAGTGAGGAGGGAAGAGGAGGGAAGTGAGGAGGGAAGTGAGGAGGGAAGTGAAGAGGAGAGTGAAGAGGAGAGTGGGGAGACGATGGGAGTGGACGAAGCTGGTGTGGAGGAAGAGAGCGATGTGGTTGAGGAGAGTGTGGAGGAAGAGAGCGGTGGGATGCTTGCTCTGCCGCCGCTGGTGGTGATGGCTCGTAGTGACGATGGTGTGGAGGAAGAGGGGGAAGAGAGTGTGGAGGAGGGAGTGGAGAGAGAGGAGCACCAGGAGGGAGCTGAGGATGAAAGGGAGGATGAGGAGGTGGAAGTGAAGAGAGAGGAGGGAGAGGGGGAAGAGGAGGCGGTAGTGGAGGAGCACGAGTGTGGTGATGGGGAGGAAGAGGAGGTGGAGGTAGAGGAGGGAGAGGATGAAGAGGTAGAAGAGGAGGGAGAAATTTACGAGTATGTGAACGAGGAGGATGTTGAGGAAGGGGAGGAAATCGACGAATTGACAGGGGGGGAAGTGCCAATAGAGGGAGAGGAGGGAGAGGAGATAGAGGAGGGAGAGGGGATAGAGGAGGGCGAGGAGATAGAGGAGGGCGAGGAGATGGAGGAGGGCGAGAGGGCAGAGGGAGAGGAGGCAGAGGAGGCAGAGGGAGTGGTCTATGAGTTTGTGAGCGAGGAGGATCTAGAGGAAGGGGAGGAAATAATTGAGTATGTGTATGAAGACGAAGAGGAGGAAGGGCAGGAGGGAGAGGAGGGAGAGGAAGAAGGGGAGGAAGGAGAGGAGAAGGTGGAGGTTGGGAAGGAGGAGCCGTTAGCAGAGGCAAGGGATGAGGCAGAGGGAGTGGAGGAGGAAAGGGAAGAGTGTAAGGAGGAAGAGGAGGGAGTAGAAGAATATGAGATTGTGGAGGAATTGGAAGAGGATGATGGGGGAGAGGGTGGGGAGGAAGGATATGAGGAGGGGGAGGAGGGCGAGGGAATGGAGGAAGTTGATATACTGGAGGGTGAGGGAGAGGAAGAGGGAGAAGGGGAGGAGGCGATGGAGATATTATCCGAAGATGAGAGAGAGCAGATGTTGGATGATGATGATGAGGAGGAGAGGGAGGAGAGAGAGGAGAGGGAGGAGGATGGGGAGGTGGAAGAGGGGATTGAAGGAGAGGAGAGTGTGGGCGAGGTGACGTTGGATGGTGGGGAAGAGGGGAAGGGGAAGGAATGGGGGGAGGAGAGTGAGGGAGAACTGAATAGGGAGGGAGAGGAGGGTGAGGTAGGAGTGGGAAATGAGGAGGTTGGAGAGGGAAGGAAGGGAGAGGAGGGGAAAGAGGAAGTGGACGAGGAGGAAAGGGAGGGAGAGGAGGGAGAGCGTGGACCAGGAAGTGAGGAACACAATAATGAGGATGGGGAAGGGGAGGGGAGTGGTGAGGAAGGTGAGGATGTGAGTGTGGGTGGGGAGGAGGGGAGTGAGTATGGGGATGATGTGAGCTTGGGGAGTGGGGAGGAGTACGAGGAGGTTGAGGAGTATGAGGAGGTGGAGGAAGAGCTATCTTACACTCTGAGCGAAGAGGAGGGTGAGGAGGAAGTGGGTGAGGGAGGGGATGGGGGAGAACAAGAGGGAGAGCAAGAGGGAGAGGAAGGAGAGGTCAATGGGGAGGGCGTTGCAAACGATTCAGAGAGAGCTGAGGAGAGTGAGGAGAGCAAGAGAGGAGACGAGGATATGAGCTTCCAAGCATCTCAAACAAAGATGGAAGAGGAGAGAGCGATGGGAGATGGAGGTATTGAGGAGGAAATAGGCTCGGAGGATGGGGAGTGGGAGGAAGTTGGATCAGAGGAAGGCTCGTGGGAAGGATCGGAGGATTTTTCAGAGGAAGGTTTACATGAAAATGAAGCAGACGGGACAGGCGAATCAGAGAGCACGGGGCAAGAAGCGGAAACCAGCGCTGCCTCGACGCCACAGCACAAGGAGCAGAGGCAGAGGGTGGGGAGGCGGCGGCGCCGGGTGCACAAGGCGGGAGTGTCGTTTGGGAAGTTTATCCCTCCTGAACTTAGCGAGCTGGAGTCGCATGAGCTGGAGGGGGAGACGGAGGGCGAGGGGCACAAGGGGGAGGGCGAGGGTAAATGTGGGGCGAATGGTTGTGCTGCGGTGCAGAGCTGAGCTGAGGTGTGTCGAGAGCAGGGTGCACAAGGCAGGGGTGTCGTTTGGGAAGTTCATCCCCCCTGAGTTTAGCGGAGGGTGAGGTGCATAAGGGGGAGGGGCAGGAGAATAACAGGAGGGACAGCATGAAGGCTGAGTGGTTGTGTTGTGCGGGGCAGGAGAAGCAAATATGATGAGGTGGAGTGGAAGCAAGTGGAAGAGCAACAGGAAGGTTCATGCAGCCACTCTTGAAGGTTCTCAAGGCATGCTATGCTATCTCTCGGGCCAATGGAAGGTTGATGTTGGATTTGGTGTCAGTGGGTCTTGCAACCGTAGTTGGGTGCGAAGCTGTGTAGCATAGGGAGCTCTTTGCTTTTGCTTGTTAAGGCGGATATTTTTTTGTGTAGTTTAGTGCTGCTGAAATCCTTTTGATTGTCAAGCTTGCGTTTGAAGACAAGTTGTGGTGGTTTCTTGCTTGCTTGATGATGAGCAATTTGTGACACTATTGCGTGTACGCGTTCCCTTGCCTTTCTCACTAATCCTTCCTCTTTCCCCACTTGAACACACGCACGGTACAAGCTGTTCTCCAGCAAAGAAAAATCATTCACTACCTGTTACCATCTTTGAGAGAGAGCTCTGCATGTGGTTCTTGTTTTTAGCGCTTTTACTGTGAGTTTTGAATTGTATATGTGGTGAAGTACAACACATTCTGAAGTGTTTGCTATTTACAATTGCAGTACAATTGCTTGACCATGGCATGGCTTGCGAGTTGTTCTGCACCAACCACGGCATGGTTCGCATGGTATGAATCGAAAGCCAATCAGATGCTTGTATTTGCGGCCACCCAATAACCTGTCGCCTCGCGCGTGACCGTGCGACTCGTGTGAGCACTGACGACATCAGCCCTTAGTTTGCGACCCTTTCGCCAGGCGCTGATCAGTCCCAAGGCGAAACCTTCGACGGTCGGACAGACTACAAATTCAGTGTGGCGACGAACAAGACGATGTGTGGATGGATGGATGGATGTGCGAAGTCTGACGGAAGCCGGCTGAGTGGCAGCTGTAGGTAACGGAACGGAACGGACAAACGCAACTGGAGAGGGTTGAGGGGAGAGGGGAGAGGGGGAATGAAAGTTGGGAAGGGAGGACCATGGCGAAACCCTAGCCCCAGCAGCCGTTTCCCCCTCCCCTCCCAACCAATCCCAAGGAGAACAAACCCCGAGAATTGTCGGAGTTAGCGCGAGGTGGCTGGAGGAGCCATACTTCTGTCAGTCATCACTGCTCATGGGGACCCACAACCATTGATCACGAGGAAAAACAGCTAGAAAGAGTCGGATTCATTGGTATTTATGAACTGAGGTGGATTCTTGCTTGTGTGTTAAGAGGTTACGTGCAACTGCTGCTATCCGACGTTCTCCTGTACTGGGGCTTGCCTAGAGCTCGCCCCAAGATGTCACCATGGCTTTAGCTAGTGCCTATTTAGGGCGTCGGCTCAGCCCTGAGTTTAGAGTCGCGAGGGTAGTAGCGCAGTCGCGTCAGAACTAGCGTCTCACTCCTGAGGCTTAGTTCAGGTCCGTCTACGTCCGTCCAGTTCCGTCCGGGTCCGTCCAGGTCCTTCCAGGAATGGCTAAGAACAGGAGGAGCTCCGGCGTGGGATCTTCGGATCCCACCGGCGCCGCTGCCGGGCTGTCTAGAAGCGGCAAGCCGGTAGGCGTGTCGGGCCGGCTGGTGAACGTGTTCGAGCAGCTGTGGAACCGTCGCAAGTTCGACATTCTGGGACGCAAGGTCAAGGGCGATGTTCGCGCCAAGTCCATCGGCAAGGCTAGGAGCGCGGCTGTGGAGAAGGTTAGTCCTAGGGAGCTCAGCGAGTGAAAATGGAGTTGTACGGTTGAGAAGCTTTGGGGTGGGGAGTATAAGAGGCAGTTTTAAGAACGGTCGCTGCTCGCTATTCTCTGATAATCCTATGTTGCAGGCGTAGCTTGGCCAAGATTCTCTCAGTTTATTTGTTCTCACGTTTTTGTCTCCGTCTTTTTTATGTTTTGCGTCAATTATAGGTTCCGTAGTGTATGGAGATGATCCTTAGAGCGGCGCAACGGCTGTATCCATAGCTTTTGCGAAAATACCGGCTCTGTTAGGCCTGCTCTCCTCTCTCGCTCTCGCGTCCCGGCCTCTGATTTCGATCTTCTCCCTTCTCCGTGACACTTTCGTTCCGTCTTCTTGTCGCTTCGCACGCTCTCTCCCTTCCCTTGCTTTGTTTTCCTGCAATGCTCGATGGCTCTCAGTTCCAGATACGTTGATTCTTGAGAATTTAAAGAGATTAATCATTTTTTTTCTCTCTCTCGTTCAATTTGTTACGACTGTCTCTTCCGCGCTGCACTAACGAGTTCTGTTCCGCGTGCGGTTTCCGTTCCACACTGCACTGACGGCTTCCGTTCCGCGTTGCACTGACGACTCCCCTTTCCGCGCTGCGCTGAGGCTTCCCCTTCCGCGCTGCATTGACGCCTCCCCCTTCCGCGTTGCACTGACGGCTTCCGTTCTGCTCTGCACTGACGGATTCCGTTCGGCAGTATCCTGGCACCTCTTCCTGAGGTGTCTTCCCCATCCTCTTCCCTCTTGCACATACCCCTACCCCAGCCATGATCAGAGGAAAGCGACGCGCCTGGTGGTGTTTCAGGAGCGCGGGTAGGCGAATCAATCTGCATTTCTATCTACACTTACCAAGCCTCATTTGGCTCATTGGCATTCCTACTCCAACCACAATCAGAGGAAGGCGACGCTGCTGCAGGAGTTTCAGCAGCGCGGCAACGCGACTCTGCTTCTGTATCGGTTGTCTTCTCTGTTTTCGCTCACTTGTTGTCAGTCCTGAATGTGCATCCCCGCTTGCATTCACCCTAACCCACCCTAATCGCCAATCAGAGGAAGGCGACGCTGCTGCAGGAGTTCCAGCAGCGCGGCAAGGCGAACCTATTTCTGGATCGGAGGTTCGGCGAGGGCGACGAGTCCATTCCCGAGGGCGAGAAGGCCATCGTGCGATTCCAGAAAGAGCGCATGGTACGCCGTGTCATGACATGTCATTAACGGGTATGATCATGACATGACATGTCATGGTGCTGTAGGCATAACATGGTGCGGTATGAAATGTCATTGCTCTGCCTTTTGCTCCTTGGTCCGCCTTCTTTTTTCGGATCCGTAACTCCTTTCACGGCAGGCGAATTTTTCATGTGCGTTCTATCATATTCACTTTCCGTTCTGTTCCCCACTCCCCCTTGTTTCCCTCCCTTGCAGGCCCAGCTGAGTCGCAAGAACCGGTTCTCCCTGGGGGACGACGACGAGAGTGAAGACGACGACGGGGAGGCTGACGATGAAGGTCGAGGATACTTTCGTGTCGACCGAATTCCCCCCCCCTTCCCTCCCTTCCTCGCCTCCCTCCCTTGCAGGCCCAGCTGAGTCGCAAGAACCGGTTCTCCCTTGGGGATGACGACGAGAGTGAAGACGACGACGACGGAGGCGGAGGAGGAGGCGCGGGCAGGCGCAGCGGCAGGCGGGCGGCGGCGAGCGAGGACGGCGACTTGCGTCTGACGCACGGCGGGCGCGACATTGACGACTTTGACGACTCGGACGTGTCTGGCTTTGGGGAGGATGAGGACGATGATGACGGAGCACGTGAGTTGATGATTGTAGCGTGTGAGCCGGTGATATGAGTCAGGGTTGCCGCCTCTCTCACGCACGGCGGGGGCGGGACAACTGACAACTTTGACGACTCGGACGTGTATGGCTTCAGGGAGGATGAGGATGATGAGGATGGAGCGGTGATAGGATTGTTACGAGATGATGATTGGAGTGTGTGCGTCAGGTTTTCTCTCTCTAGACCAGTTGAATGTGTGCACGCCTCGATCAACGCTCGTGTATCTACTTGCGGCGATGATGACAAGCGTGTGCGTCAAAACTACGAGGTCTTCCCGTCGCGCCTGTGTGCACTCGGCAACCAGATTGATGAGTCACATTACAAGGCCCCTATAATAATCATCATTTTTGTTTTGTTTTTTTTTTTTTTTTTCATCCTGTTTCTCATCCGTCTTCCACGTGCGTCTCTGTCTATCTCCTTTTCCTCCCATGTGTGCGTGCGTTGTGTGTGTGTGTGCGTTGTGTGTGTGTGCAGTGGGCGATCAGATTGTGAGCGAGTATCATTTCGGTGGTGGCTTCGTGCCCAAGGCCAAGTCGGCCACAGACGCACATGTGAGCCTCTACCCGCCCTCTTACTTGCTGGCCCGCCCTCTTAACTCGCTCGCCTACTCGCCCTCTCGCCCTCTCTCTCTACCTCTCCCTGTTCCTTGTACGTTTCCCCCAGTTCGTGTTCCCCCCCTCCCCCTCCGCCCCCTCCCACTCTCTCCCGTCATCACCTTGACGCAGAGGCGGAACAGGAGGGGGGAGAGGAGAGACAGAAGACGAAGCGCAAGGTGATGGAGGAGGTGATGGCGAAGAGCAAGCTGTTCAAGGCGAAGCGACAGGCGGAGAAGGAGGAGGACTGCACTATGCCTTTCACTTAACCCAACCGAATGCCTGTTCCCCGCCGTGTTCTGTTCCCATGGTCAGCTTGATGCAGAGGAGCAGGAGGGAGGAGAGGAGCGGCAGAAGACGAAGAGGGAGGTGATGGAGGAGGTGATGGCGAAGAGCAAACTGTTCAAGGCGAAGCGGCAGGCGGAGAAGGAGGAGGACGAGCAGCTGCGCGAGCAGCTGGACGCGGACTTCCGCCAGATCGCGCAGACAGACGCGCTGCTCGCGCTCACGCGCGCGCCCAAGGGAGGGAAGGGCGGGAAAGGGGAGGAGAAGGCGGGAGGGGGAGGCGGAGGCGGAGAGGGAGGGGCGGGGAAAGGAGTGGCCGCTGCGGCTGTTGGGACTGCTGGTGGCGGTGCTGCTAAGGCGCCCGGTGCTGGAAGCTCGCTGCTGGCTGCAGACGTGGCTGAAGAAGTGCGTTTGCCACGCCCTTATCGTGCTTCTGGTGTTGTTCTTGTTACTGCTGTTGCTGTTAGAATTGTTGCTGTTGCTGTTGCTGTTTCTGCTTCTGTTGTCCCGCACCCTCTCTCCTCCACCGTTTCTCCAAACCCGCCTTTTTTTACCTTACACCTTCTCTCTCCTTCAAACCCACTGCTGGGCGGCAGGAGAAGGACGACAAAGTACGACGTGTTGGCTTGGGAGATAATGTTTTTTCTTCCAACACCCTCTCGCTCCTCCACTCTCCTTCCGAGTCCTCTGTCGTTGCTCCTTACCCTCTCCCCTCTCCACTCTCCTCTGGCTGTCCCATGTTCTTTTCAGGAAATGGACGACAAGCAGTACGACGTGTTGGCGAGGGAGATGGTGTTCGACATTCCCTCTTTCTTCCACTTTTCACCCTCTCTCTCTATCCCATGTTTCCGTCAGGAGATGGACGACAAGCAGTACGACGTGCTGGCGCGGGAGATGGTGTTTGACATCCGCGCCAAGCCGGGGGAGCGCACCAAGACAGCAGAGGAAGCGGCAGAGGCGGAGAGGGCGCGGCTGGTGAAGCTGGAGGTGAGATTGGTAGAGGAAGCACCCTCAGTGCCGGAATGATTCTATTTGACATCCGCGCCAAACCCGGGGAGTGCACCAAGACAGCGGAGGAGGCGGCAGAGGCGGAGAGGGCGCGACTGGTGAAGCTCGAGGTGAGATTTCCGTGTGTGTGATGGTTGCCTCTTCTCCCCGTACCTCGTGTCTTGTGCAATGACTTTAAGCTGCCTCTGTGCTCTGAACCCCTAAAACTTGTTTCCCCTTACCTCTCCTAAACTTGTTTCCTGAGTCGACTTCGGAGATTTTTGTTCGTTCACTTGTGCGCGGTATGACCTTTTTTTCCGTTCCATATGCGCAGGCTGCAAGGAAGCGGCGTATGGATGGGGAACCTAGTGACGATGAGGAGGAGGGGGAGGAAGGGGAGGAGGGGTCGAGTGAGGAGGAGGGTGGGAGGGGGAGGAAGAGGCGGCAGAGGAAGAAGGCGAAACGGGAGATCTCTGGGGACGATTTGGGGGAGAATTTCGTGTTGGAGGAAGATGAAGAGGACGACGAGGAGAAGAAGGGGTGGGTGTATGATGTGTTGGGTCAGGAGGAGGAGGAGGAGGAGAGTGGGGAGGGCGAGGGGAGTGAGGATGAGAGTGGGAGTGAGGGGGAAGAGGAGGAGGAGGATGAGGCGGAAAATTTAGCTGACGTGGATTGGGAGCAGAGTGACGAGGAGATTGGAGGGGAGAGGGTGAAGGGGAAGCGAGGGTCTGTGAGGGATGGGGCGGTGAAGCAAGGTGAGGAGGAAAGCGAGGAGGAGGAGGGAGAGGAGAAAGAGGAGGGGGAGGAGAGTGATGAGGAGGAGGAAGCGGAGGAAGAGAAAGAGGGGGAGAAGCAGAAATCGGAAGAGAGAAATGCAGCAGCAACAGCAGCAGAGCAGGAGGATGAGGAGGAAGAAGATGAGGAGGAGGAGGACGACGAAGAGGAAGAAAAGGAGGAGGCGGAGCGCATAGAAAGGGCGTTTCGGCGGCGCGAGCTGCCATACGTGATAGAGGCCCCGCAGCAGCTCAAAGACCTGCAGCGGCTGCTAGAGGGGCGCGCAGCAGCGGAGGTGGGCGTGGCGATCGCGCGCATCCGCGCGTGCAACGCCGCGCACCTGTCCCCAGACAACAAGCGCAAGATGCAGATCTTTTATAACGTGCTCCTACAGTATTTCGCGTCTCTGGCTAGTGATGGTGCCTCTGGGGTGTCTCAGCGGGTGGGGGAGGAGGAGGATCAGCCAGGGAAGAAGCAGAAGCAGCAGCACGAGCAGCAGAGGCAGCAGGTGAAACAGGAAGGGGTGAGCAAGTCCGAGAAGGGGAGACAAGAAGGAAAGACACAGAAGCAACAGCAGGAGCAGGTGGAGGGGTTGGAGGAGGAGGAGGCGACGAGTGAGTTGCAGAGGAGGGCGCCGTCGGTGGCAGCAGCGCACATCAACGCGTTGGTGCAGCCGCTAGTAGAGCTCTCCGCGTCCTTCCCGCTCTTTGCTGCTGTCTGCGCACGAGAGAGGCTCGCCCGCATGCAGAAACGCCTCGTCACGCGCCTCAAAGCCGGAGGTACTGTGCGGTATGGTACGGTACAATACGGTTCGGTATGGTATGATGCGGTAACATGTCACTGCTGCTGGGGGGGCAGTACCTCCGCTGTGGCCCAACTTCATCCCCTTCTTCCCACTACCCCGCATTCCAGTTCCCACCTCAGAGCCTGCATGGCCCGCACACTCCTCCTGCTGGTTCTGTTATCAGTAAACTGGTGGGCTGCGGAGGTCTAATGTCCATCAACTTAGATGTTATCACCTGTTTACTGATAACAGCATTCCAGTTCCCACCTCAGAGCCTGCATGGCACGCACACTCCTCCTGCTGGGCGCTCATCTTCCCCTCCTCTGACTTCCGCCACCCCGTCATGTCGCCCGTCTCGCTGCTGCTGGGCTTCGGCGTTGGTATCTTCCTCTCATTGCCTCCCTCTTCCTCCCAACCCCACTTCCCTCATCTCAGCGCCAGCATGGCCCACGGCGCGCACACTCCTCTTGCTCCGTCTCTGGGCGCTCATCTTCCCCTTCTCTGACTTCCGCCACCCTGTCATGACGCCCTGCGATGCCCTTTTCTGCCCATTCCGTCCCCTCCTCACCCCCTCCTCACCCCCTCCCTTTTTGTTCCTCTTTTCTCAGAGCCAGCATGGCCCACGGCCCGTACGCTTCTCTTGCTGCGTCTCTGGGCGCTCATCTTTCCTTCCTCTGACTTCCGCCACCCCGTCATGACGCCTGTCTCGCTGCTGCTCGGCCAATTCCTCTCCTGCTGTCCCGTGCGCTCCACCAAGGACGTCGCTGCTGGCCTCTTTATATCCGCTCTCCTCCTTAATGTGAGTCTCAACGTTTCGGCCAAGTTACCTTCCAGCTGTCGCCCTTTGAAAAACCCTGCTGCTCCTCTAACCGCCACTTCTGCTGTCTTCAATCATCCCGACTGCCCCTACATCCCGCTGTATCACCGTCACTAGCTCCCTCCCCTCTCCTCCCCCTCTCTTCCTTTCAGATGGTGTCGCAGAGCCGTCGCTTCGTGCCAGAGGCGCTCAACTTCCTGCACGCGCTGCTTTGGAGCGCCGTTGCTCCTGCTCTCAAACCCGTCAAGCCCAAGGTATGGCTTTTCCTCCTCCCTTGAGCACACTGCACACAGTTGTGAGTCGACTCGAAATCCATACTGCACGCGCTGCTGTGGAGCGCCGTTGCTCCCACACTCAAACCCGTCAAGCCCAAGGTATGGCCTTCCTTCCACATGGAAGTAAGCACACTGAGGTATGGCTTCTCCTTCCTTTCCCTCTACAACGTATCCTCCCGCCCTCCTCCCGCCCTCCTCCCCGCACCTCCTCCTTTTGTGTTTGATTTGCGTCATTGTTTTGGCTCCCATTTCTCGTTCCCTCCATCTTGTCCCCTCCCCTCCCCCTCCACCTGCACCCCCTCCAGGGAGTGCCGCGCTACATGCTGCTGCAGGTGTGCTCGCAGCAGTGGCTGTGGGCGCCGTGTGGCGACGGCAGCAACCACCGCAAGCGCAAGCGCGAGCCGCTGGAAGACAAACCCGAGGCCCTCGACTTTGACCGCATCTTCCTCGGACCATCCAGCACCGCTCCAACTACCAACACCACCACTGCTAACCCCTTTGTTTCCACGAATCCTACCAGCGACGCTAACCCCTCGCCCTCCGCTTCTCCTGCTGCTCCTCCTCCCACCCTGTTGGGTGTGGAAGGCAGTGCAGCAGGGACCGTGGCAGAGGCTTACTTTTCATCTGACGTCTTCCGGTAGGTTCAGATGGGTCCGTGTAGGTGGTTTAATGTGTGTTCAGGTGGTTTCAAGCGCCCCCGAAGTCCTTTTCTTTGCTCCTGCCTTTTCTTCTTCTCATTTCCCCCACCCCACCCCTTCCAACGATCCTCCCCAACTTCCCCCCTCCCCTCTTTCCCCATGCTGAGTCTGCTGCTAGCAGTGCTCAAGACGCTGCTCTCCTTTGCGCTGCTCTACTGCCCCATGTGCTGCTATTGTTATTTGTTCCCTTGCACCCGCCCACTTGATAAAAGAGATGTTTTGAGACGTCTCAAAACCTCTCCTTTGTGCTACTCTACTGCCCCATGTGCTGCTATTGTTATTTGTTCCCTTGCATCCGCCCACTTCTCCCCCCACCTCTTCCCCCATCCTCCCCATCCCTCCGCAACCTCTTCCCCCCCCCCCACCCAACCCCCTCCCCCCCGCTCCTCAGACTGAGTCTGCTGCTGGCAGTGCTCAAGACGCTGCGCTCCTTTGCGCTGCTAATTACCGCCGCATGTGTTGCACGTTTGTTCTGCTCATCGTGCCCTTGCAACCCTCCACTCCCTGCCCCCTCCCCATCCCTTACTCCAGGCTGAGTCTGCTGCTAGCAGTGCTCAAGACCCTCCGCTCCTTCGCGCTGCTCTACCGCCCCATGCAGCCCTTCCCCCCTTTCTGTCCCCCTCCTCCTCCCCTGCCCTTTCCCTCCTTTCCAGGCTGAGTCTGCTGCTGGCAGTGCTCAAGACCCTCCGCTCCTTCACACTGTTCTGCCGCCCCATGCAGCCCTTCCCGGGATCTTCTCACCGTTCTTGCCGACGCTCGCTGCCCTCCCCTCGTCAAGTCATGGCAACTGGCAGTTACCGTGGCAGATGAAGCAGAGGCCACTGCTCGACGCCCCTTTCCCTCCCTCCACGCCACAAAGCCCTAAAACCCCTTTTCTTTGCTCTTCCCTTTCCCCCTCCCCATTTCCCCCACCCCATTCTTCCCCCTATCCTCTCCAAATCCCTCCCCAACCCCCAGGCTGAGTCTGCTGCTAGCAGTGCTCAAGACCCTCCGCTCCTTCGCGCTGCTCTACCGCCCCATGCAGCCCTTCCCCGAGATTTTCTCGCCCTTCCTGCCCACCCTCGCTGCCCTCGCGGAGTCCGGGCAGCTGCCCGAAGAAATCGAGCAGGAGCGGGCAGCGTGGGTGAAGGATATCGAGGGGGCGGTGGCGGAGGTGGAAGGTTCCAGGCAACCGCTGCGGCTGAGGGTGAATCGGGCCGTGCCTGCGAAGCAGTTCAACCCCAAGTTCGAATCTGAGTACGTGTTGGGATTGATAGGTGTGTTTCGAGTCTGAGTATGTATGGGTCAAGATATAGTATGGTTCCCGGCAACCGCTGCGGCTGAGGGTGAAGCGAGCCGTGCCAGCAAAGCAGTTCAACCCCAAGTTCGAATCTGAGTACGTTTTGGGATGAGAGGGATAAGGGAGCGCTGTGATGAAATGGTATATCTGAAATTGGAGTCTGAAAGTGAAGCGGGCCGTGCCGGCAAGAGTCCAGCGAATGCCGTCAGGAATGCGAGAAGGGGTAACAGTGTGCGGAAGGAGCAGAACTTATCTTGAATCTTCAGCAGTTCAAAGCAGTTCAACCCCAAGTTGAATCTGAGTACGTTTTGAAGTTTGAGATCGATATAAAGCGGCGTAAGTCTGAGTGCGCGCGGAGATTGATACAGCAGCAATACTTGAGAGTTTGACTTTGTGTGTAGGGCAAGGACTACGACCCGAACAAGAAATGCACGGAGCATCGCAATCAGCCCATGCCCTCCCGCATCCCCTGTGTCTTCTCCTTCTTCCCCCCCAACCCCCCCCCTCGGCCTGCCCACCCCAACCCCCCTTCATCTCCAGTTTCGCCCGCGGCAAGGACTTTGATCCTAACAGGGAGTGCGCAGGAGCAGCTCAGTCTGACCGTTTCCCTGCCACCTTCCTTGTTCCTGTTCCTCCCAACTCTCCCGTCCTCCTTTCTCCTGCAGTTTCGCCCGCGGCAAGGACTACGATCCCAACAGGGAGCGCGCGGAGCAGCGGCGGCTGCAGCGAGCGATCAAGCGTGAGGCACGGGGGGCAGCGAGGGAGCTGCGCAAGGACAACCAGTTCCTCGCTGCCGCCCGCGCACACGAGGCTGCGAATGCAGCGGAGGAGCGGCGGGAGAAGAACCAGCGGGCCATGGCGTTTATGGAGCAGCAGGCGCACCTTATGTGGTCGGGACAGCTGGGGAGGAAGAGAGGAGGGGGGAGCAGCGGCAGGGGCAGGCGTTAGGAGGCAAGGGAGGGAAGTGAGGTAGGGGGGGTAAAGGGAAGCAGCTGCTGCTGCAGCGGAAGAGCGGCGGGAGAAGAACCAGCGGGCCATGGCGTTTATGGAGCAGCAGGCGCACCTCATGTGGTCGGGGCAACTTTGGCGGACGAGGGGAGGGGCCAGCAGCGGCAGGGGCAGGCGTTAGGAGGCAAAAAGGGGAGTGCGGTGATGGAAGGGGATGAAAGGGAAGCAGCAGCTGCTGTGGAAGAGGAAGGCGAGGAGCGGCGGGAGAAGAACCAGCGGGCCATGGCGTTCATGGAGCAGCAGGCGCACCTCATGCAGCTGGGAAAGAAGAGAGGCGACTCAAGTGTCACCTGTGTAGGAGGGAAGGCGAGGTGCCAGGTGTAAAGACAGGACGGAGGCAAAGAGTGGCCATTTGAGGACTGCTGCTGCTCCAGCGTGGAAGGAAGGCCGTAGGAGTTGAAGGAGAATGAGGTGTGGAGGGAATGGGTGTGTGTGTGGGAAATGGTGTGACTGGGCATGTGGAGCTGATGTGAAGCTGATGTGGAGTTGATGTGGAGCTGATGTGAAGCTGACCTTTGACTTGTGCATGTGTGCACTGGAGCTAACTTTTTGGCGTGTGATGAGTGATGAGCAAGTTGACTTTTGAGTTGACTCAAAGGTCAACTTTTTGGCGTGTGATGAGTGATGAGCAGACGCAGCAGGGTGGGTGGGTGGGTGTTGGTGGAATGCCAGTGCCGTGTGCATGTGGAATCACTTTTGAGAATTCTCATGTGTCAGTGCATGGGTGGCATGTCCTGGAAACGGGGTGTGTGTGTCTGCATTTATGTATGTATGCATGCGCGCGCACGTGCGCATGTGCTTGAGCATATGTGTGTTTGAGCATTTATGTTTGCTTGTTTGACTTCCGACAACCAAAAAAAAAAAAAAAAGACAGTAAAAAGGCAGATATTGGGGGCTATGGCGTACTAACTTTTGGCGTTGCTGGGTGGTTTGATTTGAAGAGAAGCTGTGGCAGGTGATGGTGGATGATTGTGTGGAGACAGTGGGGACTGCGTGCAGGGACAGTGGTTGACAGCAGAGACTGTGTGCAGGGACTGGTGCAAGCAACAACAGCCTCTGAGGCTCTTCAAAAAGACTGCAGCCTCAAAAAGAGGCTGACTGGGGGTTGTGATGGTGATATTGGCTGGGTGGAGACTGTGGGGAGGGGCGCAAGGACTGGTGCAAGCAAGGACGGGCGGTGTGTAGCCGGGGAGAGAGGGAGCAGGAAGGAGCATCTGCAGCGAGTGTGTGGAGGGAGCATGGATGGATGGAGGGATTTGAAGCGGTGGTATGGGGGGCATTGCATCGAGCGAAAGCTGGGCTTAGGAGCAGCTTGGGTTGGCGAGGGGCCTACAATGGAGCACTGTTGTGAGCCCCCATGGGGTCACAGCGATGTTACACTTTCCCCGTGTGTGGGGAGGGCAGGGGGGTGGTGCTGTGTCATGGAATGGCATGAGTGGCTTGGCTATGTTGCTGTAAGGGTGCATGCACTCTGTCACTGTGCCTTTCCTGGTGCCTGGCTGTCTTCGGTGCCAGGCTCTCACCTGCCTGCTGCTGCTGCTGCAGGTTCCTGCTTTTTTCGGTTTTGTTTCTGAACGAGGCCATGCAGTGATTGTATGTGGTACCTGCTGCTGTGGCTGGGCGTTTTGTTCTTCCTATGTTCCTATGATGCTGTGCCTAGATTGTTCTGCTGCTGCTGGCTGTGTATACACCTTGGCGAGTGTATGAACACCCAGCAGCTCGCTTATCATCATGCTCAGACCATGTGCATTCTATGGTACCTTATGATCTGTTTCTTTCACTGAATAATACCAGAAATCGTCTTTTTTCTCTCTCTCTGGAAAAATACTCCTTGTATGCTGGTAGTTGCCCTGTGAGTAGTAAGCGCAATCTATATGTAAGGTACGAAAACTAAATCTGTCCGCAGTCAGCCATAAGCACTCGCCGAGGTCCAACAGCGCGTATGTTTTACGAGGCCCACTTCTCTCTCCACCGACCTGTGTTCTAGCGACAGGTTTGACGGTCGAAGGCATGGAATAACCACAGGTGACTACAGTACTCTCGGCCAACTCGTCGCTCTTTTTCCTGCCTGGAAGAGGCGTGACGTTGACCGAGTCCACATTTGCTCGTTCGGAGGGTCAACCAAAACTTGTTGAAATTTTTACTTCCTCTCCTCGGACTAGATGAACTGCAACGCCGCTATACCTGTCAATGTACACCTGTCAATGTATTTAGGGAGCATTCTTACATCGTGTCAGACACGAAGTGGTGTTTGGATGGAGGTTCGGAAGACCCGAAGTGGCCCACTTCGGGTCTTCCGAACATTGATTTGCCAGAGTTCGAGGTCACTTCAGGTCATCCTCAACTTCACTTCGTGGCTGACCTCATGTCAGACACGAGCCAAGAACCCTCCCTCAGCACCTTTCCTCCATGTAAGGTTATCGGGCAGAAAAAAAAAACTATCCGTCTAGCTTTCCTCTCACCTTCTCCCACTCCCGCACACAACCTCCCGCTCTTTCCCCCACCGCCACCCTTTTTCTGCCACGTGGCAGTTATGTTGAAACCGAATCTGCGCTCGCGACCCCCGCAAGCCGCGTTCCCCTCCTCGCCTCCCTCCCCCCTTCCCCCATCCCGCATTTTCTCATGCGCTTGCCGTTGCTCCGCCTTACCTCAGTCGAATTTCTCCGATTTTCTAGGGTAAGGCGCTGCCGCTGCCGCTGACCCGTCCTCCGCGTCGCGTGAGTTGCAAAACGCACCCGCGCTTGGGGAAACAATGTTGCGCACAGCAATCTGGTGAAACCCCGCAATTGTCGCAGCAAATCAGTCCCTCCCTCCCCCTTTTCCATCCAGCAAACGCGCAATGCAAACACGCCGCCCCTCCGAGCTCACCCCTTCTCCCCTCCGACTGTCCGCCACACCAAACCCCGCTACACCAAGCAGCATCTGTTCTCGCGCAACCTCGACTCCGCAATTCCCTCCGACAGTCAATTCGCTCCCGTCAAAACCGCCCCAATCAACGACCATTCCAGTTTCCCTTCCCCCAGCAACTTCCCTTTCCTCCCTCCTGCTGTCCCTGTCCAAGGCTTTTACCGTATCGCACCTCATGTCATCTCATTTCATCTTATCCCAAACTGTTTTAAACCCCGTCCTTCCATCACACTTCAGCCCTCTCGCCTGCACGCCAGGAAACCTCCTTGGTCTGACTTTTTCGTCTTCTCCAGCAATGTTTTCTCGTTACAAATTTCTACGCTTGTCCACTCCATCAGCAGCACGCCTGCCGTACTGAAAAATCCACGTCCGAATCCTTTCACACACGAATCCAGTCCTCCCTCTTCTTCCACGCCTCATTCTCTTCCAAAGTACGGCTTTTTTCCACAAACAACCTGCCGACAGTCGTCTTCTCTCAGCAATAGGCCGTTCTCTAGTGCGTAACGTAGGGCCTGTTCGGCCCCCACTGTGTAACGTAGGGACATCGCTTCGGATCCTTTCTTCCCTCTATTCGAAGAGTCTTCCTTGTGAGATTTCTCAAAAGTGACTCAAGCGCTGGTAGCGGTCGTCGGCTGAACCTCCCGCCCCTCCCCCCTAGTCCAGGTGTATTTCGTTTCGACTCATACTACGTCATCAGGCCCCGCAATGTGTAACGCAGCGGCGTTACTATTTCGGACCCTTTCTTCCTCGCGGCACTAGTTTTGGTTGTCGGCCATACCTTTTTTCCCGGTCCGATCGTTTCTCATTCGCTCGCTTTCTGGACACACTTTGCCTCCTCCGACAAGGCTTGTGCATTCTAAATAAATGAATTGCTTTCACCTGCCGGAACCGTGGCACTCGGATTGCCGCTTCTCCCGACGCGGCGCTGTGCGGGTATCATCATAGGAAGTCGAGTTCTGTGTAGCTCTATAGCAAGCTCGTCTGGCACACATACACGGGTCTCAGAAGTCACCCGTAAAGGAAAAGAAAAGCACACATACAATCTGCGACGGCCATGGCCTCCCAAATCCTGGCGAGTCGTTCGGAACGATTTGGCGTCGACATTCCGCTCGAAGACGAATTTAGAACCGCGCCGGGGCACAGCAGCAGCATGAGAGAGTTTGCTCATACCAGTGACGCCATGTCCTCCAAAATTATCGCCGGTGCTACTGGTGCTAATGATCAGAATCCGAGTCGTGGTTTTCCGAGTTCGAATCGGCCAGTTCTTGATTTCCCGCGTGCCGAGACCACCCGTTGCCACGTCAGCATGCTTCTCGACCAGTTGGAGGAGCGATGCCGCCTCGCGGCGCAAACGCGGCAGCGGTACTATCGAAGCTCGAGTTTCACCCGCGGCGCGCCGCCGAACCAGCGAATCGATCCGTATCACTACCCGCCGAGTTGGCGGGAACCGTGGCTCGTTGGCAGCTTCGGGCCGAGGCTGGAGGCTCGGTTCGAGGTCGGGGAAGAGCTGGGGCGCGGGCATTTCGGCGTGGTGCGCGCGTGCCGGGAGCGGGGCCGCGGAGCAACGTTTGCTTGCAAGACTATCAGCAAGGAGCTGCTTCAGGTACGGGCTACCATTCTCGCGCTCCCTGCTATCATTCACCCTGTTGTTGCCTCGCCCTGCTCCTCTAATTTAGATCTCTCCTCGTTTGCTCTCTCACGCTGTAGGTTCCTGTTTGTTCCTCCTTGCCCCCTCCCGGCCGTGCTGTGCTCACAGGGCTCGCGCGAGATGGAGGAGCTGCGCGCCGAGGCTCTCACGCCACTGCTGCTGCAGCAGATGGCGGAAGAGAAGGAAGACGAGAGGGCAAGAGAAGGGGAAGAGATGGAAGCAGTCAACCCAGTCGACCCAGTCAACCGAATCAACAGCATCAGCACCAGCACTGGGAGGGCCCCCTGGGAGGGCCTGGTGCGTGTACATTCAGTGTACGAGGACAGCTGGGGAGTGCACCTGGTCATGGACCACTGCAGCGGAGGAGACCTGTTTGACCTCGTTGACCAGTACGCTGAGTCAGCAGGCATGCCCGAACAGCTGGCAGCGGCTGTCGTGGGCCAGCTGGCTGACACGCTGGCGTGGATGCACTCTGTGGGGGTGGTGCATCGGGACTTAAAGCCCGAGAACATTTTGCTGGCTCGGCCGTTCTCAGGGGAAGCGGGCACCCTTCCGAACCTCCACCTCTGCATCGCCGACTTTGGACTGGCTCGGCGATTGGCCCCTGGGGAGCACCTGACAGGCTTGGTGGGAAGTCCGTTTTACTTGGCCCCTGAGGTCGTGAAAGGTCATCTGTATGACCACCAGGTGGACGTTTGGAGCCTCGGGATTATCCTCTACACATGCCTTTCTGGGAAGCTTCCCTTTCACGGGCCGAACCACAACGCCGTGTTTGCTGCTGCGTGCCGGGCAGCGCCGGACCTGGTCTCGCCGGAGCTGTGGGGCGGGGTTTCTGCCGAGGCTAAGGATCTGGTTCGGAGGATGCTGGAGAAGGAACCTGGGAGGAGGATCAGGACTTGCGAGATTCTTTCGCATCCTTGGTTTGAAACGGTGGGGCGGAGACATACGTCGACAGCTGCTCCGAGGGTGGAAGTACCTGCTTTTGTAACTACTACCAACTGCAGTAGAACAGCTGCCTCAGAGTGGAACAGCAGAACAGCAGTACTGGCGGCAGCAGCACAGCCAGCAGCAGTACTGGCAGCAGCACAGCCAGCAGCAGCAGTAGCAGCAGAAGCAAGAGAGTACTCCTTGTACCGTCCTGCAGCTCCCAGCGATGATCTTCCCCTGATCAGCACGGAGCCGCAACGAGCCTCGTTCCTGCCATGGGATGGCGTTGGCTGCAACAGCACTGGAGCAAGCAGTGGCACAACAGGGAGCGTGACTGTAGCGAATGTTGCTGTGAAGAATTCCCCAATTGGAGGCATGAGCAGCCCAAGCATCCTCCAATCCCAACCTTGGCAGCCGAACCAATTGAGTCAGTTCCAGCCTGCATCAAGTCAACCAAGTCAACCCACTGCATCACATCAATCAAGTCATCCCAGTCAACCCTGTCAACCCAGTCAACCTAGTCAACAGGACCAGCCTTCCTGTGCTCAAGACACTGCTACCCTTCACCTCACTACCACACCCATTCCCCAAGTAACTCCCAACACTGCATCTGATCCCAACCACACCACCACCCCTCCCAAAAATGATGCCACTTCTTCCCATTCCCCCCCACGTCCCCGGCCCACACCCCCTCGCCCCCTCTCCATCTCTCCCCCTCCCCCCGCTTCCCCTCGCACCCTCGCCACCTCTACTACTCCCCGCACGCCCTCTCGAGCTCTCTCCGCCCGTCCGCGCAAACCAACCGCCCAGTCACCACGCCCGGTCGCTCCTTCCCCACCAGCGCTCCCACCCTCGCTGCTGACTCAGCTCCGGGCTGACAGGGTGGCAGATCTGATGCGGCTGTTTCGAGCCTGCCAGGCGGGAAGCTCTGATGACGTGGCAAGATGTCAAGGCAGCAGTCCAGCAGTGAGTTCGGTGCAGGTGGAACAGATAAAGACATAGATTCAGTTTGAGTGTATATCAAGCCCCACGTAGTCAGTTTTTTTTGCTGATTTGCATTGCTTCAAGGCAATATCATTCTAGAAAGAGTGGCCGGATTTCCATGAAACCTGCATAAAAAAAAAGGGGTAGCACAGCAGTAGGGACAAGAGATAATCTAATAATAGCTAGAGATATTATTTCCATACGATTACACATATATTATCCCGAGAGAGAAGAGTCGCGCCAAGTAAGAATCACCCTAAACGAGACTGAGCATAACACCCTAAAGTCTGCTTCACAAGTCTAACGGGACTGCTCTCTAACGCGGATGAACGCGATCTCTGATTATACGGGAATCTTGGTAGCGCCGATCCACGACTGCAGCTGGATGAAGCTGTTGGGGTTGTACTGGCTGACGTCACCAGGTGACGTAACGCCCGGCTTGGCCCACTTGACGCGCGATGGCTTGGCGCCGGCGCCCTTGCTGTTGACCTCCGCGAGGAAGGGCTTTCCGCCGTACGTCTCGCCGGCCCACGTCATCCAGCCGTCAGGAACAATTTTCTGCGCGAGTGAGGAACGGGGGAGGGGCGAGAGAGACAGCAGGGTGAGAGGGGAGAGTGGGAGTTGGGAAAGGGAGGGGCGACGAGAGCCGAGGAGGATCTGATAATTCTGAAAGGATGGGGCAGGTGGAGCAGGGTTGGGGCATGGGAGTTGTGAACGGGAAAGCCAACGAAGGATAAGCTTGCATGCCATCGGTTGTCTTGAAATCGAGTCCACACGGTGCGAAGAAAGAAAAGCGCAATGCACGACGCAAACCAAGCGTTCGAGTCGACTTATGCTGTGCGAGACAGACACCGAACTTTCAGTTGAAATGACACCGTGACCGTGACATGCAAATGCATGTTGGTGATGTCGAATCAAACCTGGCACCTGACTGTGTTACCGGGTGTGTCAACGAAGTGTTGGCGATGACACCGTTCCGTCAGCGAGGTTCTAACGGAGCTGGTGCCGAGCTTACATTCGGGAGCCACGTGTTGATATACACCGACGTGGCGTAGGTCTTCCACGGTCGCCCGAGGAACACGCGCGGCGAGAACGACACAACGCGGGAGTCCATGATGACAATCCCGGTGTTGGAAGTTTTGCTCATGCGACCCGACGCTGTGATCGTCGTGTCGTACGGCGACGATTGAACCTTCAATTGCGAATTACGAATCACAACAGCCGCGTCGCCGAACACGAAGTCCACAGCTCCGTCGATAAAACAACCCGTGTAGTATTGGCGACCCGTGCTGGCGAATAGGGTGTCTTGGAATCCCGAAATCCGGAGCTGGTAAAACGCGGCTTGGTCGCTGTCCACACGGAGCGCCACGGCCTGCTGACCCTCCAGGCCAGCAGAATTTCGAATCGTCATGCTCATCGCGACGAAATGATCCGCGTTGACTCCTGCCACATGTAATATTCGCGAACATAATCAGATTAGCAATACAAAATGGGTCGAGGTGTAAACATAGAACCGTATACAGAGATTGAAATGGAATCGCGTGCAAGATTGGTGCGAAAAATGCGAAGCACTTACCCACTGTGGCCGAGGTGATGATATCGTAACCCCCCTTCTGGCTGGCGTCGTACACAATAACCGTCTGATCCATCCCAGCTCCAATCATAGTGATGCGATCCGTGCTGACCTGGATCTGCTCCTTATACACTCCCGCCTTGATGCGAATCGTCGAGCCCGGTCCAGCCGCGTCCACAGCGGCCTGAATCGACTTGTAATCTCCGCTGCCATCTGCCGCTACGACCACGTTGATCGCCTGAGTCGCCCCAACCTTGGCCTTCTTGCCCGATTTCGAACCCTTGCCCCCCGAATTCGAACCCGACGAGCTTTTGGGCGGGCTCTTTTTCGGCGGCGATTTCTTGTCCTTCTTCTTCTTGTCCTTCTTGTCGTCGTCGTCGTCATCAAGGGTCACCACAATACTCGATCCGCCCTTTCCTTTTGCCGGCGCGGCTGGCGCGGCCTGGGTGACGGCGAGGCTGGCAGGTTCCGCAGCGAAGTGCAGGCGAGTTATCGCGTGAAGCTGCTGCTGGCGCCACGTGGCGAGCAGCGAGAGCAGCTGGTTGAACTTGGGGGTCATGGATGCGACTTCATCGCGTATGGACGAGAGCTGCTCGGATTGCTGGGTTTGAGGGTTTCTATTGAGAACCATCAGCAGCGTCTGCTGGTTGGAATAGGCGCGATTCACGTTGCGAGTCGCGTCCTGAAGCTGCTGCGTGGACCGCGGGCGCGTGCGGTACATATCGACCAGATCCTTGATCGCCCAGACCATGCTCTTGCTGATCAGTAGCGACTGAAATGCACAACAGGAGTCGGGGAGACAAAGAAATATGAGGCGTAAGCAGTTGACGAGAATAATGAGCATCTCGGGCGCGTACGGTACATATCGACCAGATCCTTGATCGCCCAGACCATGCTCTTGCTGATCAGTAGCGACTGAAATGCACAACAGGAGTCGGGGAGACAAAGAAATATGAGGCGTAAGCAGTTGACGAGAATAATGAGCATCTCGGGCGCGTACGGTACATATCGACCAGATCCTTGATCGCCCAGACCATGCTCTTGCTGATCAACAGCGACTGAAATACACAACAGGAGTTGGGGAGAGAAGGATGCTCTTGCTGATCAACAGCGACTGAAATACACAACAGGAGTTGGGGAGAGAAGGAAACAAGTGAGGCGCAAGCAAATGACGAGACGAGCAGATGATAATCACCATGACCCATGTAATGACTCGGGAGGCTACTAGGTTCTGAACCACCACAATCTTGAATAACATGTGTAACTCGCATTCGGCGATTTTCACGTCACCGTGAACAGCCACGTGAATTCGTTTCTTGCTCACCTAGAGTGGGTCTAAACAGATGCCCACTTCAAGTGGTCTAAAGTGAAATTATATGCGTACCTGAGTGAGAATGGAGCCGAGGACCACCCAACCCGCCCCATTCGTCGCCTGAGCTCGGACCGTTCCCACATTCCCCTGCAGCGATTGTGCCAACTGGATGGCAACAGGCGTCGCGCCGCCGCCCATCAAGTTTCGCCGAAGCAAAAACTCATCGCCGACGATCGCAGGGGTGCTGGTGGTCGCAGAGGGGGTGAGGTCCAGGTCGACGGGTTCGCCTTGCAGGACGAAGGCGCAGACGGAGATATTGTGAGCAGCAGCGGCTGAAGCTGCGTGCTCGCCGAAGTCCTCGCAGAGAATGAATCCGGTTTCTACTTGCGCATCGTCGGCGAATGCTATGGAAATTGCTAGGCAACACAGCAGAACGGACAAGCATGCAGACGCGGAACGAGCGAACGGCCTCATGATGCTGGGAAAATGTTGAACACTCCTATGCTAAGACACAAGGCAAGCAATGGTAGCAAACAAATAAGATAGGCGCAAGGCCCTATCAGCAGCTCGGCGGGCTAGCACATAGCTGTTTGAAGACCAAGCAACAACGCCCAGAATTTGAAGAAGCCGAGCAGTGCAATGTGGTGAGCTAGTAGGGTCGATGGGGTGAGCTGTTGTTTTGTGAGGTTGTGGGTGGGGTGGGGGGTGCAGGCAAGCTTTCCTGCACGAGCAGTGCAGCGTCACGTTCCACCGTCCACGTTTCGCGGTGGCTGGTGAGTTCCTCCTTTCGCGACATCGAAATATCACGATAGTAATCGTGTTCGTCAGTAGCCATTTTGCTTGAGTAACACGTGTTAGCGATCGAACGTCAAAGTCGCCGATTTCTCTGACCAATCAAACAGGTCGTTTTCTCGAGCACGCGACCCCATTGGATGCGCCGCTGAACTAGCTCTGACCCGAACGTGTGTTCGAATCGCTTTCATGGAGCTTGTTTTTCGTGCATTTGCGCATCGATCACACTCGGCGGCTCGAAATGTTCCACAACCCCTTGAGATTTCTGAATTTGAAGATGACAGATAAAACCGCGGATCCTTGGTGTCGACGAACGTCGCCAATGTATTCTAGCTCATGCGGTCTCGCTAGAATCGTGAGCGCTTCGAATAATCAAGGGCTTGCACCAGAAGGGTAGCCAGCCACCCTGAAAGGTTGACAGCAGGGTTGAGATTTTGAGATTTTGACATTGTGAGATTTTGAGATTTTGACACCCTGAAGGTTTTAGTGACTCAGTTGCTCAATTACAGACTGAAATTACGACGTTCAGGGTCAAACAGTGTTCAGTTCTGTGACCGATGTTACGACGTTTTGGAGTTCGCGTATGGCGTCTCGAAAGGACCTCTTTGTTTCCACTCCACACTGAATAAATCCTTTCAGTGGTGACAACGATGTCCAAATGCTGGACCTACCACATGCTGAGACCCTGTCCACAAAGACAGGGTGCATTCCAACCACTTAGACTAAAGTCAGGGTGAATTCGAGCTTGATACCAAAGGTCCACGTCTCCCAACTTATTGGCGCGACACACGCCCCAACACCACCCACAAGCGATCCGTATGAACAAACCCAACAAATTAATATAGAACACTCTAACGCAGCAAGTAACATTGGATAACTAATTTGAAGTATTTCAGCTTGCAACTGATTGTCTCGTACAGTGTTTCATATCTATGGACAGATAGAGATGCGCAGAATGAGTGATTGTTTGGCACCGCCTTGAAATCACTTTGTTTAGAACCATAAAACACAGCAACCAACAAACAAGTACTCAACAGTGCTTGAGTGGTCCTACCACTTCTGCCATTCTATGGTAGGCAAGATGTCATGTCAGGAGGGCAGTAGTACATATTGATCACCTGGCCAGCTCTGGAAACGCCCCTGACAGCGCGTCCTTGATCTCTCCCCATTCCTCCATCATCTCCTCATCGTAAGCCTCGGAATTCTCGGGCGGCGTGGCAAAGGTGCCGAGCTTGCTGCGCCAGAAGTCGTCGCGGAAGGTGAGGAAGTTGAAGAGCTGCTCCACCTCCAACACCTCCCATGGGCGCAGCCCTGGGATGCGCTGCGCCAGCTTCTTCCTGCAGCCAGGAAAGGCACGGAATGAGAAATAAGGATTGGGGAATGGGGAGTAGGGGATGGGCATGGGGAATGCATATGAATGGTCAGGGAGGAGTGTTCTATGGCATGTGGGAGCGTCAGGCGAGAATGCTGGTGCTCCTGCATTGGAGGTCTGATTGGCGCTGTGTACCTCACAGTCTCATGCTGTGTACCTCACAGTCTCATGCTGTGTACCTCACAGTCTCATGCTGTGTACCTCACAGTCTCATGCTGTGTACCTCACAGTCTCATGCTGTGTACCTCACAGTCTCATGCTGTGTACCTCACAGTCTCATGCTGTGTACCTCACAGTCTCATGCTGTGTACCTCACAGTCTCATGCTGTGTGTGCTTTTTGAGCCAACTCGAAACCGCGTCAGTCACACTCACCTCTGCTCGTACGAGATGAACTTGCTGGGAAACTTCTTGGGCTTCTGGTCAAGAACCTTAGTGAGCTCGCTCCCACTGGCCCACAGGAAGAGCGCGTGCGAGGGGGCCTGGTTGCCCGGCCACGCTCCCCCGTGGTTCTTCAAGGCAGCGCGCTCCCTCTCCTTGTCTGCCAGTGCCACTACCCCACAGGTGTTTGCCTTACCACCAGGCCCCATGATTTCCCAGTCGACTCCCTTCCAGACTCACCTCTGCTCGTACGAGATGAACTTGCTGGGAAACTTCTTGGGCTTCTGGTCAAGAACCTTAGTGAGCTCGCTCCCACTGGCCCACAGGAAGAGCGCATGTGAGGGGGCCTGGTTGCCCGGCCACGCTCCCCCGTGGTTCTTCAAGGCAGCACGCTCCCTCTCCTTGTCCGCCAGTGCCTCTGCCTGGCGCTCCTCCAGCGACCGCTTGGCCCCTTCGAAGCCCTTCTTGACCTTGAGGGGGTTCATGCCCCTCCCGATGCGGTGCAGCATGGCCGTTCCTGCTGTGGCCAGGCGAACTGGTGGGACACAGGGAGTGGAGAAGGGGAAATAAAAGGGATGGGGGGATTGAGAGGAAGGAAGCAAGTAAATGTGGGGAAATGCGATGCAGCATGGCCATTCCTGCCTGGCGAGGCGCACTGGCACAGTGGGCGAGGGGGAGGAGAGAGGGGTAAAGGAGTGGATATATAAGAGGAGAACTGTTGCCTTGCCCCACACAAAGGTGTGCCATCAAAGATCCCCGCCAGCCACGGCCCATGCTGTGCACTGTGCCTTTGTCTGCCTACTGCCTGCCTAGTGTTGACTGCTGCTGTACACTCACTGCTATCCCTCACCCACTCACTCCCCACCCCCACTCACCATCGGGTGTGTCAATGGCCTGCTTCAGCCCATACACGGCATCAATGGGAGCAAACTCGTCCATGTCATCGCCCCAAACAAAGGTGTTGCCATCAATGATTCCCGCAGCCCACGCTGTGCGCAGGTTGATCACCTCGCAGGGCCCTCGCGTGCGCCCCAGGCGGTCCTTGTAGTACCACGTGCTGCCACGCAGGGTGACTGGGGGAGAAGTGAAAAGGGGGGGGGGGGGGGAAGAGGGGAAGGAGGTGGGGGTTGGGGGGGACAATCTCATTTATCTCGTAAATTCCCTGGATTTCAATAATTTCAAGGATTTCTCAGCCGAGAGGCTGTCACGCCTTCATACCCCCAAAACCTGGTTTAAATTAAAACTCACAGTCGAGGTATCTCTTCTCGAGGAACTTGGTGCCGACGACCTGCTGGATGTCAAAGGGCTTCTCAGCGGGGTAGGGGCGCTGCTGGTAGCCCCACAGGCCGAAGTGGAAGGTCTTGAAGAAGTCGAGAAACACGTTGCCCGCCTTCTCCTTGTTGCCCGCCAGGCCTAGACGCACCAGCTTGCCCGTGCCAAAGGGGGCTGGATGGGGGACGGAGGAGAGCGGGGGTCACAAGGGGGGAGAAGAGGAGAAAGATAGGTGTGAGGGGGTGGGAAGTAGCGCCTATTCATTCTGCGCCGTAGGCCCAGCTGCACCGCACCAGCTTGTGGGTGTCACAGGACCGCTGTGGTAGCCCCACAGGCCGAAGTGGAATGTCTTGAACAAGTCGAGAAACAAGGTGGTAGCCCGCCTTCTCCTTGTTCACCCCTACAACGTACAAGGGCCCACATGCACCGCGTACCGGGAATGAGCGGCATCTTCTTCCAGAGCCGCTTGTCCGTCGCCGCGTGAAGCGGCAGGGACTGCTACAAGCATTCTCAGCTAACCATCTGCCATGACCCACACCTCCCAGCCCCTACACGCCTAAGTACCAGCGCGTACCCGGAATGAGAGGCATCTTCTTCCAGAGCCCCTTGTCCTCCGCATGCAGCAGCGCATATCGTCTGGTTACCCTGTTACCACCAACAACTACCGCGTACCGGGAATGAGCGGCATCTTCTTCCAGAGCCCCTTGTCCTCCGCGTGCAGCGGCGCGGAGTGGCGGCGAATCTCCTCCTCCTGCTGCCGCCGCGCTAGCTCCTCCGACTTGAGCAGAAACTGCGTCATGCGGCTGTTGGCCACCTTCTGGTAGAGCTATTAGCACGAGGAGGGGGGGAAGCGAGAGGGAAGACGAGGGAGGGTTGCGGGCAGAGGAACGGGGTAAGCAGACTTGAGCAGAAACTGCGTCATGCGGCTGTTGGCCACCTTCTGGTAGAGCTGCGGAGCGGAAAAAGGGGGAAGGGTGGGGGGAGAATTTGGGAGGAGAGAGAAGTTCTTAGGTAACTTCCAGGCGATCAAAGCTCGCCTTCCTGAAAACAATCCGTGTGTCAGCTTGTCCAGGTGTATTTTGAGTCGACTCAAAATACAGGGGGAAGGGTGGGGGGAGAAGTTGGGAGGAGAGAGGGATGGGGAGGTACGATGAGGGAGTGATCGGAGGGAGGGAACCGGGAAAGGGATGAAACTGCGTCATACGGCTGTCTGCCTCATGCAGCTGTTAACTCAGAGGCATTTTTCCCAGTGAGCAGTGACCATGGCACTTCTCTTAACACGGCCCATTCTCGTACGAAAGGCAAGCCATTCTAGCGATGTAACTTCCTACACAAATCTCAGACGCGGAGCCCGGTGGAAGACATTTGGGTCGACTCAAAAGCCATTCTGCCGACGTAACTTACTACGCGAATATCACACGTGGAGCCCGGTAGGTTGTTGGCGTCCTTTATTAACCGCCTACGATCACCCATGCGCAAGACATTGCCTCACTCTCAACAGGCTCTCGCCGTATCGCTCCTGAAATATCCAGTCATTCAGAGCGTAGGTATATCTTTCAAAAAACTCAGAGGCCCTCTCAGGACGTTTCTGCTGTCACCATCCAGGGGTGAGCATTCGTGGTTTTATTGTATACGCTAGGCCGCTCTTTGCCTGCACCTGATGCCACGTCATTTCCTTCCCGCCACCTTTTTTCTGACCTGCATGAACTTAAACATAACCGGCCACATCTGCCTGTCGTACCTTCTTGTTCGCGGCTAGCTCCTTCGCGGTCGCTGGTCCCTTACGCACGTATTTCGGCTGCTCCGAGTCGTCGATATCGACAGGATCGTTTCGCCGCTCCCATTTCTGCATCAGATCAACGGCCAGCTGCTGGTTGGCTGCCGCTTCACTCGCTGCTGCTGACGTGGCAGCAGGCGCAGCGGCAGCTGCGCCTTTCTTTTGCGGAGCCGGCTTGGCCATGCTTCGGTGTATCACTCGCTTCGGGTCTAATAGTTGATCACCAGAGTTTGAGCTAAAAATCGATTACTGGGAACAGGTTCCGAACTTGGTTCTATAGATCTCCTTCACGCGGATTCCTCCGGCTTTGGGGTTGAGGAAAACGTCAGACCAGAATCGGCAGTCCAGTCGTGTTCTACGTGCTGGCGAATAAATGCGACGACAACAGCCGGCCAATGCGCGGCATGAAACCTCGACTTAGGACGAGGCAAGTGAGTTAGATGGAGGGCTAACTCAGGAATGACCCTGCTTAGTGTGCCTCAGGTACGATACTGAAGCCCAAGCTCCGAAAACAATGCGTCCTGAGGACGCGTCAACTCCCAGCACTTTGGGCACATCGAACCTCCGTAGGGTCGATGTGCCATATGTACAGTACATTCACGAGCTCGCGAAGTGTCGTGTTGCCAGTTTTCGCCAGATTTCGCCATTGCACAGTAAATCTGCCAATAGTCCCGATGTCCCCTCCGGATCTCGGGACACCTTGCCACCTGCCACACACCGATCGTGGCATTTCGGTGAGCGGGAGCTACAATCGCGCGCTAGTTGACAGCCGCGATCGATCGGCGTCGCTCATGGGTCCGAGCGACACATGCCAGAGTCGCAGCGACGACAAAACCAGCCACCCTGCAAAATCACTTCTGTACACGCAGACCACAAGCTAGAAACCGCCAAAACCAATCCCGCCACACAAACCAGTAACAAACATCCGCGAAAACCCACGTCAAGTCGCACAGACACTGTTGGGAGTGTCAATTTGCGATGGCATGCGAAGGCGGATTTGCAGCATGCGACAGGCCAACCCAGCACACCGACCCTGCAAATTTCCCTAGTCAAGTGGGGCTCGATGGTAGGGGTACACTGCCGATTTGCAGGTGGAGCACACTGGTGTGCACACCGATCCTGCCAAGATCGGTGTACACAGCCGATCTTGCCTCGATCCTGCTAGAGTTCTGGGAGTTGACGCGTCCTCAGGACGACTGAAAGCCCTCGGAGGGATGTGAGGGGAGGGGGGGAATGGAGCTTCTCCCGAGAATCCCAAGGGGAAGTGTGAGGGGTTTTTTCATGGCAGTCTGTGAGGAGGAGGTGATGTGGTTTTGGGATGTTCGAAGTGGATGTGGCAGCCACGTGTTTCCCTCTCATTAGATAGACATCCACCGCCCTGACTTCCATCCAAATCGAATTACTATCGATTGTGCTTTTGTTGTAACATCTACCCTTCGTCCTCAATAGCTCGATATCATAACTCTGCAAACAAACATAAAAATCACGTTGTTATTATTGTCCTCTATAGTTTATCCGATTAAATTTAAAAAAAAAATATGAATTTGTCTCTCAGATCTCATGATTTAGTTTCCAGGCGCGTGTGATCTTGTTACGCGCGGCGTCGATGATGAGAGGTCCAGAGGCTGTTTGGGTGGAGCGGGAGGATGTTGAGGAGGAGATGGGATGGGATGCTCCGTGGGCGGATGCACCCTACTTGGTAGACATGCGGGTTTAGAGGGTGGGTTTGTCAAATGTTGTAGCCTATAGTGAGGTTTGTCTTAGGGGGTACAAAATTTAGGGTTAGCTATATGTACCCTAACCAACATCAATGCATTACCCATTCTTCATTCTGACATGGTATCAGTTAGGTTAGGATCCTGTGGGATCCCGTTCCGCCGTTCTCCGTTCGTACCACCCGAGCCTGATCCTAGCTCTCGTTCGTCTCCTTCTCGTTGTTACCGAGCCTAGCGCCGAGCCACGCTCTCGTTCGTATCGTTCCAGCTGTTACCGAGCCTAGCAACAAGCCACGCTCTCGTTCATAGCGTAGCCCGCCCCCCCGTCGCGTCGCCTTCCCCCCCCCCTCGAGTCGCGCCCGTCCCTTTCCCCCTGTCGCGTCGCGCTCCCCCCGTCGCGTCGCGTCCGCTCCTTCCCCCCGTCGCGTCGCCCTCCCCCTGTCCCGTCGCACCCGCCCCTTTCCCCCCGTCGCGTCGCCCTCCCCCTGTCCCGTCGCTCCCGCCCTGTCCCCCCGTCGCGTCGCCCGTCCCCGCAGCGCCCGCCACTGTCGCTCGCGACCGCGCTCGTCGCCGCCGCGCCTGCCGCCGTCGCCCGCCCCCTGCGCGCCTCGCCGCGGCCCCGCCGTCGTCGCCCGCCGCTGCGCGCGTCGCCGCTGCGCCCCCTGCCGTCGCCCGCTGCGCGCGCTGCTGGCCCCTGCTGCCGAGCGCGCTGCCATCGCCCGCCGCTGCGCCCGTTCCCGTTCCCCGCTGCTTAGTCCCCTGTTACCTCCCGCTGTCACGCCCGCTGTGGCGTCCGCTCCTCCCCTGTCCCAGAGTACCGCCGAACCCTAATTTGCCTCTCACCTACTGCTGTCCCCTCCCTCTCCGTTCGCGTTCGTTTTCACTATGACGAGTCAGCGTGTCCTTCGTTTCGACGCTGACGGTAGACCTCTTGATTTTTCCGTCTGGCTTCTTCGTGCTCGCCGTCTGTTAGAGAGTCAGGTCCAGGCAGGCGAGACCCTCTGGGCGCACGCTACTGGTGCTGTGTGCAGTTAGGCCTTGTTGACACTGGTTCTCGTGTTGCTTAGACTTGAGTGTACTGTTTACTTTGCTTTCTATATATCTCTGTTACTTCTTGGACTGGCCTTGTGGCCACTGTTGTTTGTGCTCAGACTGTGTGGTGACGTTGTGATCCACCCTGAGCTTCGTTTCTTGGACTGGTCTTGTGACCGTACTCGTTTGGTTCTGCTAGACACCCCTCACTTAGGCTATGGGGGTGTGTCAAATGTTGTAGCCTATAGTGAGGTTTGTCTTAGGGGGTACAAAACTTAGGGTTAGCTATATGTGTCAAACTATGCATATTGTGTTTGTGTAGGCTGCTAGTGGGGTAGCCCATATGGGGTACAGCCCAATGTTAGGGTTAGCTTATGTACCCAACTCTTGATCAATGCATTCATTCCTGTCTCTAGATTCTAACATGGTTTCAGAGCAGTAGGTCCGTAGGACCGTTTTTTTTTTTCGGGCCCACCTACCGCTACCCCACGCCTGTGCCTGTGACGTGCTGCACTGCGCACGCCGTCTGCCTGTAGCCTACTGCCTGCTGCCTACTGTGTTGTCTGCTGCTGCTACCGCGCAGACCTAAGTCACGCACGCTGCCCGCTGCTGCCTCAAGCGTCGCCCTCGCTGCTCGCGCCGCTCTGCTGCCCCTCACACGCCGTCAGCGCAGCGCACAGCCCCCAGCGAGCCGCGTGCAGCCCCGTCGAACCGCGTGCAGCCCCGCCGAGCCGCGCGCAGCCCGGATTTGCCGAGCCCGCGCAGCCCGCGCCGAGCCGCGCGCAGCCCCGTCGAGCCGCGCGCAGCCCGTTTTCTGCTGCGCGCAGCCCGTTTTCTACTGCGCGCGGCCCCGCCGAGCCGCGCGCAGCCCGTTTTCTGCTGCGCGCGGCCCCGCCGAGCCGCGCGCAGCCCGCTGCTGCCGCGCGCGACCCCCTCCGAGCCGCGCGCAGCCCCTGCCGAGCCGCGCGCGGCTTGCTGCTGCTGCGCGCAGTCCCTGCCGAGCCGCGCGCGGCCTGTTTCTGCCTCCCGCAGCCCGCGCTCGGCCCACAGCAGCCCCGCGCGCTGCCCTGCATAGCCTACGGCTGCATCGGCCCCGACCTTCCGCTGCTGCGGCCCCTCGCTGCTGCTGCCGAGGCTCCGACCTGCCGCTGATGCGGCCCCCACTCTGCGACTGCCGCTGAAGCGGCCCCCCACCCTGCAGTTGCTGCGGCCCTACTCTACTGTCGCTGTTCCGGCCCCATCGCAGCTGCGGTCGTGCGCCTACTCGGCCCTGCTCGCCCGGCGAGCACCTGCCCTTCCAGCCTTTGGTGAGCACCTGCCTGCCTGCCTGCCTGCCTGCCTTTCGGCCTGCCTGCCTGTCTTTTTGCCTGCCTGCCTGCCTGCCTGCCAGCCTGCCTGCCTGCCTGCCTGCCGGCCTGTCTGCCTGTCGGCCTGCCTGCCTGCCTGCTGGCCTGCCTGCCTGCCTGCCAGCCTGCCTGCCTGCCTGCCGGCCTGTCTGCCTGTCGGCTTGCCTGCCTGCCTGCTGGCCTGCCTGCCTGCCTGCCTGCCTGCCTGTCAGCCTGCCTGCCTGCCTGCCGGCCTGTCTGCCTGTCAGCCTGCCTGCCTACCTGCCTGCCTGTCTGCTTGCCTGCCTGCCGGCCTGCCTGCCTGTCTGCCGGCCTGCCTGCCGCGCCTGCCCTGCCCGAGCTGCTGCTTCTACTAGCTATTAGCCAGAGACCAGATGCAGCTCCAGCGACGCTCACGCGAGTCTCTCACGCCCCAGCAGCTTAGTGAGTGGTATACTAGTTGGGGCTGTCGCGGTAGCCGTCGTAGCTGTCGCCCTGGAGCTGGTCAGTTGGGGGCCTCTAGCAGTGTTCAGCTGCAGCTGCAGCGGCGTCCACGCGAGACACTTACGTCTCGGCAGCTCGAGGAGTGGTACGCTCAGAGTAGAGGGTCTTTCAGTCCAGTGCGCTGCCGGTACGTCATTCGCACAGGTGATCGAGCTGGTCAGACCTGCGGGACGCCTGGTCACACACAGTCCCGCTGCTTCGCCCGCCTGAGCGACGCCTGGCGTACCGAGTTTGGTGACGAGGCTGAGCTCCCCACCTGGCTGGAGCTGCTTAGCCAGAGGATAGATATCTTTGCTCTTGACTATGATGCTATTCTCACTGCTATGTATGCATTGCCTACTAGTGCTGACCGAGCCTGTTACCTGTGCGTACCGCCTGACCCAGGTATAGAGCCTGCTGCTCTCGGTGCTGGTGAGGCTGCTGCTCTAGGTGCTCGTGCGTCGCCTGCTCTAGGTGCTGGTGAGGCTGCTGCTCTCGGTGCTACTGCGTCTTCTGCTCTAGGTGCTGGTGAGGCTGCCGCCCCAGGTGCCTGTGAGTCTGCTCTCTCTGGTACTGCGCCTGCTGCGGCCTTGCACACCTTCACCCTTGACTCAGGAGCTTCTCGCTC